ACCCGACATTGCACAGTTCAAACAGGGAGTGAAGACTGTAGCAGGCAAGATGGCTGTCCTCGCTAACGGTGTCATGAACACGATCCAGGTGAGACATCAAGTCGAGTCAGTCACAGGGGTTTCCTGTTTGCTCTCTGTGGCTCCTTCTGTCCCTCAGCTGCGTCTCCACCTCACATCAGCTCTTTCCAGTGGGGATGTGAGAGAGAGAGACGAGAACAGAGAGACTATATTTACCTAAAGAAGACAGTTCACACAGTCCAGCTTCATTTAGAGGAGATGGCAACTACTCATGACACAAAAATCTTATCTAGTCTATTTGTAGAAAGGTTTTTAGGAAACCACCTGAGGAAGCATAATCTCGCTGAATGGGAAAACATCCAACGTCATCTCTCAGCTCAGATGTTCGACATGTTTGGAACGTTATTGGCCAGCTACACAAATGTTGTTCATTTTTTGTGTATTTCTAATGTTTTTCTGTATGTTGTCTCAGGATCTTATGGCTCCTTACTGATCGGCCCTGACGACGAGCAGCAGCAATGGTGGAACACACACTAACTAACGTCTGCGTAGAGCCAACCGCCTCCTGACTGACACGTGCATTTGGGCGGAAGAGATGGGACGAGGGAGGACGGGGAGCAGAGAGGATGCATGGGGGAAAAGAAATCGTCCTTCTCGCCCGTCCCTCTTTTAGAGACAATTTTACAGGAGTGAGACTGTATTTTCTTCTCTCATCCTCATTAGCAGACTCTTGAGTTTTATTTTCATAAAGGAAACCATCGAAGGGTGTAGTCTTTTCTAAACCAAGAGTTTTGTTGTAATTTACTGTCGAGAATTTTTTGGTCTTAGATTTTCAAAAAACTGGCGTCAGAGTTAATTGTTCTACTATATTTTATTCCTCCTGCATAATCAAAGTGTGTTTTTTGATTCATATTATCAAAATCATGCTTATGTCTTTTATTTTGTCTTATTGTGATATTAAAAAAAAGGTGCAGTATATATTTTCAAATTTTAGCGTTAATTTGAACAAGAATCCACGGTGTTTTGCATTCGGTGTTTGATTCACTGCTGCTCGCTCACAGTAGAGTTTGTCCACAGGTTAGGGTTTTTTTATTTACACAAAGCATTGACAGACAATTTCAGACAATTTGTTGAGCTTGGACCCACGCACTTCTCTCTGGGTGGAAGTATATCTCTGAAACACTGGAGCATCAGATACATGATGTTCCAAGCTGCTGTGGTTATTTATTTTCTATCTATTGGCGGTACAGGGTGCGATACCTCTGGTTTGGCTCATATCCCAGCAAAGTGTTGTGCATTGGAATGGGGGATTTAAGGGGGCATGAAATTAAAAAGATAGAAGAGGGGTATTGATACAGACATCAGATAGAACATGCTAAGTCCCAGCTCATAAAACAAGCGACACTCTTTTGACTATGCATCTCCATTTTTACAAACCGTTTCTTTTCATGTTTCTGCAGTTGGAATCTGAAGTCTGCCTCTGTGTACCTCAGCTCTGAAAAAACAAGACGTTTGTTGGCACTGCCTTTTTCTCTCTCAACAGTTGAACCTTTATTTTTGGAAGGCTGGGGTCTTCAGTTTACATGTTTATCTTTTCAGACATTTTGGCCAATGAAAAATATTCCTGACATTCAAGGTGTAGAACATCATAAGGGTTGTGCCTCTAACTGATGATGAGTTGATGATGATGATGATGATGATGATGATCTTCAGACAAAATGATGTGTCTTCGGGACAAAGAAGCCTTTCAGTATTTCTCTAAACCGGGCCAGGGAGCATGCAAGTGAATCCAACAAAAATGCATCTAGTGTGAACCTCTGATAGAACCAGTCTATTTAACATGGTCACACCCTGTCCATCAGTTTCCTGTTAGTGATGAAGCTTCGTCTCAAACCTCAGTACTGTCACTTTTTCCCGCAGAACTTGACATTCAACACGTTATTGAAAGGATTGTCCGCTGCAGTTGAGGTCTGGATTCCGTGTCGTAATTTTGTTTGAAAGACCAGGGTGTCATATTTTTCCTAGCGTGGCCATGCCTCGTGTATGTCCCAACCGTGATAAACTCTCCAAATAGTAACAAACCATGTGGACTGAAAGGGATGAAACATTGGACTATTATTTTGTAGCGCTACAAAAAGAAAACCTATTCAATATGTAATAAAGATCGAAAAACCTCTGCTGCGTTCACGTCTCTGACTCTGGCACTACCACACAGACTTCAACCACTTCCCATTTATGTAACTTTAATCTGCTTCCACTGGTTTTCAGTAGCTCACTTCTTAACGCATGAAAATTTAATTCAAACCCGGTGCCTGCTGGTGAAAGACTTTATTGCTTCTCAGTTGCTGCTCAGTTTTAAAGTCACTGTGGACGAACTTCTCCCCTGCAGCTTTCTGCTGACACTGAAACAATCTCAACAAAGAAGGCTGCACACTTTGATCAACCACTGCAGGGGCCTTTAGACAGGAATGGAGAGAGATGACAAAATTAAGACCACATTGCTCACAAAAAAAAAACATTTAGCCCACAATCTTACAAACTGTAAATGCAAGCGCAAACACTTCACTGTACAGACAACTGCATAAATCATTAAGTTCATAAGGCAAACATTTCTTTAGCATTTGGTCAAACCAGTTCTTTGTAGTGTCAGAAAAAAAAAGATCCCACAGGCCCAAATAATGTTTTGATGTTTAAAATAATGCAGGATAATCATGTTGGTTAATCTCTGAAACAACCTTCTGAATCAAGAAATGTTCCTGAAGGTGCTTGCTGTCAGTCCGGAGTGGTAACCATCTCCACGTCATTGTATCTGATTGTTAGGGAGTTACAGCAGATGTCTCTGTGGCCTGGACCTGCAGTGACAAGCCCAGTAACAGTTCCTTCCTCGTTTCACCCCCCCCCCCCCCCCAAAAGATCCAGACACGTCCAGCAGGTTTTATCCCCATTGTAGAAGTAGATCGTCTGCCAGTGGAAGGTAATCCATCAGAGGGCCTGAACAGACAGAGAGGCAACACAATCAAAAACCCTGCACTAATATGTTATGAAACTGATGGGGCAGCAGACTGCAACACATGACACTATTTCAGTGTATTAACAGGAAAATAGAATTATTCTGTTTATACACACACATTACCCATCATTCATCTTACTGCCCTGTTGTTACTTATTTTGGGCCATAATTCTATTATTAACTAAAATGTACTAAAAGTTCCACATTTTACACCTTTGTAGTTGTTTATTTGAGTGTTGATCCATTAAGAAGATATATTTATATATATATGTGGTTTTAAGAACCAAAAACCATCTCAGTGTGTAGTTTTACATCTCCTCTCTTAGGCTTCTCTCTGGAGCAACAGAACCGACCTGTCGACTGTTTTCTGAGTGTCAAAGTGATCGTTTTAACTTTGAGTGAAGCTCAGGGACTCTGGTCACTTTTCAGTCTTCGTACACAGTGTTACTCAAAGGAAACATTTACCTTCATACAGACTATTCAACATCTCCCTGGACGTCCCCTCTGACTCAATAACGCTGTGATTTATTGCTGCTTTGCATTTTTCCCTGTTCTGTGCTGAGCAGAGGAACTGGTCTGAATTTCTGTCTGTCACAGCTCAGAGAGTTGCCTTTATTCTCTGAATATATGTTTAGTGTTAATACCTGGAATCACAAAAAACCCTTTCACACAGCACACTACACAGCAGACACATGTAAAAAATGTGGTTGTTTGTCTACAGGTAAATATACAATTCAACATATATAAGGAATAAAGTAATAACAGTAATAACTTATACTTCAAATTACAAATTATATAATAGTTTCTGGAAATGCCTCAGGAAACCATTATAATAATTGCTAAAAATTACTGATATGTCATCAAACTCAATTTGAACTCACTGTGACTCTCATAATTAAACTGCGTGAGGCTGCTTATAAAATAGTTTTTTGCGTTTTAAAACAACAAACAATTTCCTGCAAACTACATTTTGTTTCATCTGTGTTCTTCTCGCTGGTTTTGAAGTGGGCGGGGCTAAGGTGACGTCACATACCTCCTCACACCAAACAGGATTTAACAATGTTTAAATCAAAATCGTTGTTTGCCCATGTTTCCAATGCCTGATGAAGCAGATGAACTTCACTTCTGACGTATAAATCCTGACTAAATTATACTAAAATACTTTGTCAGGCTTTAAAAGGCTCATATGTGGAGACACGAGTGCTTACGTGCAATAAGTCCTATTCCTGGAACATGATCAGCCAGGACTCTGAGCAGGAAGAGAATCTTTTCCCTGCATAGAAGAAACATGATCACGACCATTAAACCATGATTTAAGAAACAACAAAGAACCAACAATTGTCCCTTTTCAGCCATTTTAAAAATACCCAATACACATATTCAGCACATCACTTGGGCTCTGGTTTAGACATCCACAGACACTTACTCAGAGTATTTGTCATAGAAGGGTGAGCGCAGAAGGTAAAATACAGCAGAAGAAAGGTTCTCCTCCTCATCTCTTGCTCTCTCCCATCGATTCTGAAAATTGGTTTCATTGAGCACAGCGAAGCTGGAGGGAGGAAGGACGAATAACTGAAGTAAAATATTCACGACTCATTTCGTTAAACTGCTAAACTGACTAAAATGATTGGATTTTGTAGTAGCTTATCTCCTCATATTTTCATAAATCAGCCTTCACTCGTCAAGTCTGACAGACAAAACAAACAAGAACTGAAATTTTGCCTCAGTAAATGCCTTCAGACAAACCACACAGCCTTCATCTGCAGTCTTGGGTGGATCACTTTGAAGTTCTTGAAAAGCTGGCCTGTCAGTCATGATCACAGAGTGACGTAAAGTATTTCCATAAAACGGGACTGATGATGACTTATAAATACTTTACATTTTTTTACTTGTTCCACTGGACATGAATCAAAACTGTCTATGACACCTATGAAAACAATGAGTCATGCAACTCTCAGATTCTTTTCAGAAAATGGAAAAAGAGACTGGAGACAATAAACAAACAACCAAAAACATGGAGGAAATATTTTGCATAAGAATAAAAAAGCCTCATGAGAAAAATGATTTATTCAGGACGCCTCTGGATTTAGATAAATCTGAAGATTTTACAAATACGATGTGAAAACATCTTTGAATTTAAAAAAATTATATAGTACTCACAGTTTTGCCGATCTACAGTTAATTTCTAATGTGGTTAATGAATCATAATTTGTCTTCTATAGTTTCTGCCAGTTTAGAGAAAAGCAGGCACGGTGTTTCCAATGTAACTGAGGACATGATACGGTGAAGGAGGAGCATTCTTACCTGGAAAGTTCAAGGACTCCGGAGACGAGCCACGGCTTCCAGGACTGTTTTCACACACAGCGAGGCAGAGTACTGCAGTTAGCTTTCAGGAAAACTGTTGTGTACTACGACTCTATATACAGGGGTCCTGTACTGGACTGGACCCCCGTATACAGCTACAGCCCAACAAGAATTTCAAGGAATCTAACAACCTTTGTCTTCTTTCTTCACTTTGTCCTCAAAAGAAATATTGGTCACTTCAGACGTTGTATGAGTCGTAATTTGTAGAGTTATGTTTTATGATTTTAAATGTTTCTGTGTAATATGTCGACTTCATAAACAAAAGCCATGACGCATTTTTCGGGGTTAAACAACTTGTGTTTTGGTCTAGAAGTAATAACAAGATTGTTTTGTTGTGAAGTGAACAAGAGAATCTATTTCATTCTCACTGCTCATGTTTCACACAGTGAGATTCATTTTTACAGACTATCTTCGTCCTCTACAGAAACAGCTCCAGCTTGAAGCAGCTTGCCATCTAGCGGTCAGAGTCATTAATGCAAGACAAGCTCACAATGTTAAGTTAGTGCAATTTAACCAAACTGTGGTGGCACAGCACATGTGTTTACAACATGAGATGCTCTCTGTTACTGTCCCCTCGCCATGTCTCTGCTGCACTTCTTCTGATTCATCAGATATAAACAACTGTAGCCGTTCAGATCTGATATGACAGACCGCTTTAGTATCGGTTTACCTTTAGCTCAACTGTGGAGGCGCTGTGTTCTACTGAGAGGGATTACACATTTCCCCCACTGACAATGAACATGAAAAATACAATACACACTGATTGCAATTCTTCACCTCGGGGAAACTTTCAGGCAGTTCCTTTTTTTTGTTTCAAACTAAAAACAAAAAAAAAAACATCAAATTGGAGGAAACGGTCCATTTCTGGTGTTTGCAAATTCCTTTTTGTTCCATTTCAGAGGTAAATATTTCAAAATAAAAGCCAAGATGATCTACTCAGGCACTGGCCAAGAACAAGTGACAGAGTGTGTAAAATTATATTTTAACATTATAATATGTGATATTTTGTACATCTGATCTATTCTTTCATGAATAATTGCACCGGCTTTGACAGAAAAAACAAGAAAACCAGATAAAGATGAAACATTTCTAACATTTTCTACTAATCTTTACAGGGTTGTGCAGCATTGGCAGAGCCATCTTCTTTGTATTTGAGCTCTAGTTTAATATCATTCATGAACTGGACGGACTGGATGTCTATGAACTGAAGGATACAGTGTACGAAGGCCGACTGATGTACACAGACTCAGCGATGGTCTGCTGGAGCCCCAGGTGTGTTGGTTTGCTGTGGAGCTTCTCCCTCAAGCTGCTGTTTCTCCTCTTCCTCTGACCTGGTGCCCCCACAGCCGGGCCTGCAGGGACAGGCCTGCCACAGAGAGGGGGACGAATATGACACTGTATATAACTGACAGCAACATAAACAAATAAATCAACAACAGCTGCTGATTTAAAAATTTGGATCGTTATTCATTCACAGCAGAGAGCTCATATCACTTCCTGTTCCTACTACAAAAAGCTTGATTTTAAATATTTCTTTGTCAGATTAAATATTTGTGACATCAAAATTTGCTTAACAGTGAGTTTGATCAGATCTGATTGACAACGCGTAAGTGTCACATAGGTGGAAGTCTGTGTGAAGTGTTCTTCACAGTCTGAGAGCGGCCAATTTATTCATTAAAGAGGTCAAAACTCCAAAAACTGCTTCGTCCCTGTTTTTATTTGAATGTGTGAAGGTTGAGGAAGAGATGAAGTAAAAAGCCACAGCAGTGTGAAGCTGCACACATGCAACCTGGCTGTCGTCTTTATGTGTTTCTGTCGTCTTCTGTGTGTTTTCCTGCTATGTGAAACTTGAAAGGATATTACATTTCAGCTGTAATCACCTACGAAAAGAAAAAAGCTTTTTAAAGGCTTACCACTGCCCAGTGGCCTGATGACTCGTCCTGACCTCTGGCCCACAAAGCACGTGTCATCTTGCTCCTCCCCATTACCATCATCTGTGGAGGAGAGGGGGGAAACACAATACACTCATTACACACACGNCTGCCCAGTGGCCTGATGACTCGTCCTGACCTCTGGCCCACAAAGCACGTGTCATCTTGCTCCTCCCCATTACCATCATCTGTGGAGGAGAGAAGGGGAAACACGATACACTCATTACACACACACACACACACACACACGCTTATCACTTGCAATTCGAAACGAAGCTGATGAGAGCAGTGAGACTGAAAACAGTAAATGTGCTGTAAAACCAAAACAATGAGCTAAGAGAGGCTCAACAGAGCTGAGGAGAACAGAGTCAGTGATAAATCTGTGTGATAAATCTGTGTGTGTGAAAAGACTAATTTAGAATTTAGTCTTTTCACATTAAATATAATACATTTTGCTCCTTGTTCATTGTTTTGGTTAGTATGTTTATATGTTTCTGTATACAGTATATTTAGTATAATTTTCCTTATTTTATACATTTGTTTTACTTACTTTTCTTTTTTTATTCAATTAATATTCTATTATTTTGATGTCCTTTGTGCAGCACTTTGGTCATTTCAAGCTGTGTTTAAATGAGTTCTAGAAATAAAGTTGACTTGATGTAAATAAACAGTCATTAATAGCCATTTGATTCATCATTAATATAGTAAATGCAGCCTTAATTAACTGAGCCGGTTGTTACCTGAGGTGAATTGTGAATTTTCACATGTAAAGCTAATTTTAGATGTAGTGAGAAGTGACAACTGGGTCTGCAGCCATGTTAACGGCCCTGTGAGGATGGCGCTATGTGCTAAATGCTAGTGTCGGCTGGCACATGCTCACAGAGACAATGCTTACATATGGATGTGTGAAGAATTTGAATTGTGGACACAGTCCTACTGTAACCTCCTCGACTTTCAAAGATTAACATTTTAAACTTCTAAAAGGAAGTGATCAAACAGCCAGTGAGAAAGGGATGAAAACTGACCTTCAATGCCAAGTTCTGCACCTCTGTCGAGGGGGATTATGGGAGGTGAAGTCTGGATACCAGATTTATACCACAAAAGAAGCACGATGCGAAAAACTGTCCTGTGGATGAACATAAGAACAAAATATGGTCAGAGGAAGGACAGTACAGAGGGAGAGTCACAGACAGTATCCTAAATACGGCAACATCTGGAGTCGCTTCTAAAGTCTGAAGTAAACCACATACACATGATACACTTTACCCATAATTTATATCACAAAATGTACACACTTTAACCCAGGGCACTTGCTGTTATGTATTAAAGATTTACTAATACTAGAGCACTATGTGGCCAAACTTCATGTCCCTCATGTGACTGTTGAATGTGTTATTTCAAAACCATGGTTGTAACAACCTCCATTTTTCTGGTTTCAGTCTTTCCGTCAGAAGTTGAACCTGCTGCAGGGATTTGCTCCTAATAAGTCACAACAGCTTTAGTGAGGCTATATTGCACATGTTTAACTGGCTATTTCACACGAGTTTTAAACCGTACTTAAAAATCTGAATGAGTCCGATCACCAGCCAGCGGCCGACTTCACCCCACAGCTTACAGGCTCCTATCTCCAGGAAAACCTCCACGTACTCCAGCACAGACAGCCAGGTCAGGAGCCTCTGCTGAGAGAGAGACTGAACACACCAAACACCAGGCGGGAACAACGGTGAGCATTTTCACTTCCAGTTTGCAGCACAGAAATAACATGACATTTAAACTGAAACTAAAACTACTGGTGAAGATCTTTCTTTCTCTTTTCTTTCTGTTTATGATTTATGATGCATGTTTCTGCACAGAATAAGGGGAACCCTGAATGATGTTGCCATCACAGCCTCACTCATCTTTTTCTTTTTCTGTGAACAAATTTTTTACATAGCTTTAAATGCAATTATTGCGATTTGGTAATAAGTTTGTTGAGCCACAGAGAAAACAAATGAGTTCCAGAAAGTATTCAGACCTCTTCACTGTTTTCACACTTTACTGTGTCGTAGATTTCATTTTAAACAGATAAAATTGACATTCTTGAGTTTCTGAGTTGAAGTAAATTTGCAACATTTCTTACTTTGTCATTGTGGTTCATTGAGTGTAGCTTCACGGGCAAAAAAGGCAATTTTATCCATTTAAAATTATATTTAAAAGACAATAAAGAGAAGAAGTTGGAGTACTTTCTGAAGAGACTGTGTATTAACCAAAGTCATAATCCAAACACAAACAGAAAACAAAATTGAGGGCATCGGTATTTGACCCCTCACCCTTTGTCACCCCCTGACCCACCAGGTCAGCTGGCCAGAGATACCTCTGCTTGACACAGAGAAAACTTTTTCAGCTTTTAATCAAATTGCAGCAGTGCTTTTGTCTTTGATTTAGATTTCTTTAAATAAGAAGAAGCAACCAACTCTGCAAGGTCTGATTTACATGACAGGAAAAAACAGAAATGACAACAGGTAAAATTCCTGATGCAGCTCCTTCCGGTCTAATCCAGACCAGTCTGAATCCACTGGTCTGTATAAACCCCATCCATGTTTGTGTCTCCTCAGAGACACTGATGCAGCAAACATTCATCTCTGTGAATTAGATCTGAGATGAAAGTAAAGCCTTCAGGACGAGCTCACCACAGGGAGGGAACATCTCAGCCCTTTGCGCAGAATGCTGTCATTGAAAAGCACCAGGAGATTGGAGGCAGAGTAAACTGAAAAAAACACAAAGCCATGAAGAGGAAGTTTATTCAGTTTGAACGGCACAGAAACCCTGAAACAGAACCAACACTGTACAGATATAATAAACAATAATTATGTTATTTCTGTAGATAAACTAATTTAACTGTGGTGATGTGTTATTATTATCTAACAGGGTATGTAATGTGTATGTTGTATAAATAATAGAATAAAACTACTTACCAAGTTCAGATATTTCATGGGAGTCTGCAAATCGCCCTGCAAAATAAATGTTACAAGATGTTATAATTTATTATGTGTTGAAAACATCAAAGTAGTTCTAAGCACCATAAACAAAGTGTCACATTTCTCTTACAGTTGTATGCAAACGTTTGGACACACCTGGGCAAATTAAATTCTGTTGATTTTAAGTGAACAGAATTGAATCCGATCCCTGAGGCAAACATAAAAAACAGCCGTTCTTCTTCTGCCTGTGTGTGGATTTTAAACCAGCTGTGTGAGCAGGACAGACTAAAATATCTCTGAACCTGAAGTGATTTACAGAGAGAGGCTGAAAATTCATCTGTCAGGAACAGGAAGACTCTGAGCTGCTGCACAAAGTGTCTGCAACCTGGGGGTCACTAAGTACTGACTGAGGATGCCCAAACATTTTAGAGTGCATGAATTACTTATTTGAACTAAAGGCTCATTTTAATAATCGTGTTTGCAGGTGGGGTTGAGCTACTCTTCACTTCAAAAATCAACATGTCATTTTGCAAACTTTTGCATACCGTAAAATAAAGCTCATCTAAGGTCTGGATTAAAGTGAACCTCAGTGACACGCAGATAGAACTGAGGCTGAGCTTTTACACGGCCTCTAAGATGACTAACATTTTGTTCTGTATCATTAACATCACTTTGACTGACCTGCGATCAGGTATGACAGTGTCCGCACGGTGCTCTCCAGCTGTGCTGTAGCAGCTGGGTTCCTTCTCACGTACTCGATGTACCGCTCATAAACACGGGTCAGTTTGTCGACGTACTCTTTAATGTGAGACATTTCAGCTTTTACTTACTGAACACTGAAAAATAAACTTCTCATTTATCCGCTGTGCTCAGACTTTGTTAGTTTAATTCCTGGTTTCCTTATTCAAGTGTTTTTTTCAAACTAAACAAACTTCCGTAAAGATGAGCCGACAGTCATTCGTGTCCCCCCCCGCTCTCTAGTTCAAACACATTGGTTCCTGTTCCTACTGTTAGCATTTAACACACGGGTTCTTCTTCCGGACACGTTATTGTTGCATCAGCACCCCACCATCAAGCACTGTAGCAATGTCGACCTCAGGACAGCCAGGTACAGTAAATATTATTTATTTTCTTCTTTATATACTCTTTAGTTGAAAACCCTTGAAAAGGCTGTGACAGCACGATTTAACGTGTTTTTACGAACTGTCACAGCTGGTGAGCTATCAGTAGCTTTGTTAGCCTACAGAAAGCCTGCAGAAGAGCCGCTTAGCTAAAGGTAACCCGAATGAAGCGAATGACATGCAGAACCCCCTTTGAAAATCTGCTATTTAAGATGATAGTTAATTGAGCGAAATGTATCGGCAGAGACATCCCAACAATTAAGACTCAACATCTTCTCTCGGTGCAAAAGAAACACACTTGAATTCTGCAGACGCATTTCATTTGGAAGTATGTTATTGAGAAACAAACATGTCAGGTATTGTAACTGGTTAAGAATTTTGAATAGAGTTAGTTTTTTTGTTTCTTTTTAAAGGAAAATGTGTGGCAATCTGTCCTGCTCCTTTTAAAAATCTGATGAAATTAGTTAAAATCATTTAACAGTATTCCCAGTTTGCTCACTCTATGTAGTGTCATGAGAATAAAACACTGCAGCCTAAATTAAAGACAATATAATACATGCATTCCGTTTACATTATTCCTCCTAAACTGATGCAACTTAACTAATTGCATCATCTCGACCAGGTTACAATGGTTCTCCTCACATCCGCGCATCCGCATTGTTCTTTTGATGATCTACTATTTAAATCCTGCGTATATCTCCTGGGGAGTGTTTAAAATGTATTGAGCTAATTTAATTGTTGGATGTTGTTGGATTGTTTCTTTTTACGCTGTAATAATTTAATTTTAATTCGTTTTTATTATCAGTTTTGCTTAGTTGCATCATCCAGCAAGATGCTTTTAGTTTCTGTTTGACACTTTGACTTTGTTTCACTCATGTCTATATAAAGTTTAGTGGTCAAGCACAGACATTCTTTAAATTATTATTATCATTATTATTATTATTAGTAGTAGTAGTAGTAGCAGTATTATTATTATTATTATTATTATTATTATTATTATTATTATTATTATTATTATTGTTTAAACACCTTTGAAAAGAAACCCAGTTGAACTTTTTCCATGCTCACTATAATATACCATATCACCTAATACTTTCTAATGAAGGTTTTATTTATATGTAATTCATTAAACCACTGAGCCTAAATAACTTAGTCGTCTCAGTCTATGTAATGTGTATAACTCGATTTTTATAGTTTCTATTACTAAGACACTTCACCTTAATTTCACTGGTTTGAATTTTGAACCTTGTCTCCACATTTTGTGTTGATGGCATCACATGCTTTAAAAGATGTATGCATGCCCATGAGCCACACTCGCTTCTATTTTATGTTCATGCAATTTTGGCGTGTTCACGACCATTATGTCAAAGTTGTGCCACCTCTTTTTTTTTTTACCATCTCCTCCTTCTTCCACCTGTCACTTCACTTATCGTCTCTTGCAGTTACACTGTGTGTTTGTTTGAGTTGGTTTCTTTTTGACTTTGTTTCACTTTCTGTCTTAGTGTTTGATTACTCATACATGGAGAAAACACATTTAAGTTTCTTTTTGACTTATTTGGTTTCACTCTTAGTGTGTGTGGTTGGAAAATTCAGAGGGGCATTATTGGACGGGCTGAACTGATTGACATAGGATCAACATAGATCAGGATTTTGGAGCTTTGTTCATTACTTTCTTTTTTTTCTTAGTGTTTTTTCATTTGTTTATCTGTTTAGATTTCAAATCACATTCAGAGTCATTTCCGCCGGCAATGTCCATGTCCATGTCCAAGCCCTACACTGAGCTCTGTATGTGCAGACTAATATTTGTATCAGATACCGTACATCCAGCACCATGGCCAGAGACAGTGTTGGCCAAGCCGGGTGAAACACCCTTTAAAATGTTATTTCTGTCGTCAGACACTAGTTGCAACATCCGACATCTGTACTGGGTTAACTCCTTTTACTTGCTCCTGAGTGCAGTATTAGATCAGCCCAGGGCACACAAATCGTCATCTGTACATATACACTCAGCAGAAAGTTTATGTATCCAGACATTACAAAGGTAAAATAATGTTTTGTGCCTGTCTGTTACTTTTCATGAGTTTATGTTAAAGAATCTGCAGCATTTCAGTTTAGTTTTAACTTGAGTTTTACATAATTTGAGTTGAACATTTGCCGACTTGCTGCTAAATACCTTAGTCCTTGTCTGTGAGGTTGATCTTGTGGTTTCTGGTTATCCCACTGTCCAGTGTAAACTAGTGGTGCTGTTGTTAGTGTTTTCTCTGGCTGTTGCAGCCTAGTCGGTAATTCTTTGCGAACATTTGCCCTCTTGTTTCTGCAGCCTTTGAGTATGGCTTCTTGCTACAGATAAATGAGGAGGCCGCGCTGGCTGTGGCCCTGAATGACTACCTAACCTCACGCAGCTACCTGGCGGGGTTCAGCCCCTCCCAGGCCGACCAGAAAGCCTTTAAGCTCCTCCACAGGCCCCCAGATCCACAACATGTGCACGCTCTGCGCTGGTACAGACACATAGCATCCCTGCAGCTGGACCTCAACTCTGAGAGCAGCAGTGAGTAGACAGTTGAAGGCATGAACAGGCTAGACGTGGTCGTGTTGCCATACCCATCAGCCTGGACGTCGAGGCTTTCTGAGGTCACTAAGGCAGGAAAAACTCTGGTTTATAAAAGTGAAAGCCGCTCTAACCTGCCCCTCTGCAAACACTGACTTGCATGAACCCAGAACTCTTCAGCAGGCATTTGAATGAATTCAGTTTTAGCTTTCACTTTTCTTGTTAGTCACAGCAGTGTAGTGTGTGTGTGTGTGTGTGTGTGTGTGTGTGTGTGTGTGCGCTTCCGTTAGCTGAGCGCTGAGGACAATTTGTTCATCGCTGTTTAAACAAAACGGCAGCAGCTGTGACAAACTGCTCTGCAGTCACAGACTTGTTGCTTTAAAGAGACACCTAACCTAAGAATACCTGAAGTTGACATGGGCTATCAGACACACAAAAACACACAGAAGTGAGCCATTTGCAGGAAATTAGACATTGTTTCTAGCAGGGTTGCACTGCATGTGTTGCCATACCATGTGCTGTCCCCACTGGGTGTATGTGCATGCTGTGTGCTCATGGTCTCCTGGCTTTAAAGTGTATATTCCTGAAATGAGCACATAAAGCTGCATTCCTCTGAGAATAAGATGACCCCTCACTTCTCTGTTGTCTGACTATTCCTGAGTTCTATTCTGACTATTCTGAGTGTGAACTAGCACAACTAACTCAGAGCTTGCTCATTTCTCACAGTTTGAATCAAATATTTTTTTAGACTAGAAATCAAAGCTACACAAATAAGCATAATGATAAAAGTTACGCTCGTTGGGGTCCTATCCCAGTTGAACTGGGAAAATGTAAACAGACTTGAAGATATTTTTTTTTTCCTCCTGTTAACTGATCGTTTACTTTGGAGAAGAGGGAGTTTGAATCCATAGCTTTGGGATAAATGAAAACACCCATTCAAAATTCAGTTGTGTAAAACCTCAGAGGACAAGTTGAATGCTTTTGTTCAGCTGTTTTCTGCACAATGATGTCAAGATTAACCCTAAAGCCTTATATTCAGACCGGTTCAGGTTCAAACAAATTGATAACATCACTGTATCTTGATGCTTTTTGATAATTGACTTCCTCAGTATATTATTGTATTTCAACTATAAACGATGCTGTCGTTAAGTTTTATTTGTGTCATGCCAAGGTACAATGTCTAGTATGCATAGCAGTGAAATAAGGGTCAGACTCAGCAGCAGGGCAGACTGTGCAAAACTGCAAACAAAAATATATATATTTTTTTGATATTATGAGAAATATCACACATGGAGGGAAATATCTTGGTATTTGATATTATTGAACATCGGGCCAAGCCTACCAGATATAATCTGTCTCTGGGTTATTTTATTTTTATTTTCGAGAATTTAGTTTAAGGAAAAATAATAACTTCAGGTTAAATCCTCTCATTTCACACATTTGAATCTGTCATTTGTATTTTTCACAGCCTTAGTATAGCATTTAACAGTACAGTACATATTTGTACAATTAGTCTATAAACTGATCAGCTGATCAGTGGAAAATGAATCTGCAAGGGAAGTGCACTGGTTATTTTTTACAATTAACTGATAGTTTCTTATATGATTAGATAAGAAAATAATTTAACTTTTAATCATCTGTAATGAAAATAACTAACAGCTGCAGCTTTAAATCACTGTAAACACTATAACTGATGCAAGGGGGCAACAGTTCAGACCCATATTCACCTTCAGCAGCAGTTCTGTGCTGCTCATGTGCTGATGAAGGCAAACTAATATGTTTACATGCATTAAATTTAAAGCTCCCATGTGTGAAATCTTATGTGAAAGTGACAACATTCATATTATTATGATGTCTTAAGTTTCTGTCTCCAGAAAATGAGACATTTTCAGTGGGAATTGGTTCAGTGTCTGTTTTAAAACTAACATTGTGCATGTGTGATTTTAATTTCAGTGAAAGGAAAGCGGGTCCAGCCCTCTTGGTCTGCACCAGCAGGAACAGACGTTCCCCAACTTCTGCTCTACAACAGTCTGACGAGAGCAAAGGTGGGCTAGAAACAAGTTGTTGGGTTATCATTTATCTATCATTAATCAATCATAATATTTATGTTGGAAAGAATAGACTTCCTTACAGAGAACAGAAATCTTTAAGATTGACTGCAGTGAATACCTCTCATTAATTTTCCCTGAGCATCTTAATGTTCACTGTAACCTCAGCTGGAAAGGGAAATTCTAGTTCTATCTAGTTTATTCTCAGTAGTGGTAAAAGCCTCAGCTCATTAAAGTCCATTTATGTTTCAGGAGCCGTTTGTTCCCCAGAAAGGGAATAAAGTGTCATGGTACTGCTGTGGCCCCACAGTGTATGATGCCTCACACATGGGACATGCCAGGTAAACAAATTAAAGCAATCATCATGTCTATCCATCATTTAGCTCAGAACAGTCTCATGTTTGTTCTAACAGGGTGTCATTTCTAATCTTTCTCTTTCCTAAGATCCTACATATCTTTCGATATCCTGCGAAGGATACTGAGGGACTACTTCAAGTACGATGTCTTCTACTGCATGAACATCACAGACATTGATGACAAAGTAAGTATGGGGTTTGAATAGGGCTCATTCTTCACTGGTTTGTACTTTATTTTTTTTATTAAGTTGGCAAATAAACTTGATTTTTTTCTAAACTTTGCCTTAGTATAAACCATTTTCTCTCATAACCATTTATCTTTCTGTTAACGCTGTCATAAAACGATAGTTAACAGAAGATTAAAACATGTCAGCAGAACCAGAACAAATACATCATATCCTCATTTTCTAGACTACATCTGAAATGAAGGATAATAGGTCCTGAATAAAACATTTAAGACATAATAATAGTCATTTTAATTGGTTTGTAGTTGAAACTGGATCTACTCAGATGTCTAATTAGTCCCAATGTAATTCAGTGATCACCTGGAAGATAATTCCACTTCTCACATGAAATAAATCATGAACAAAAGGGAAGCATCACCAGAGAAGTATCTGGGGGGTTATAACATTTATATTTTCACATTTACATTATGTATTGATGATAATGATGATTCAATAAAAAGGTTAATTTTAAGCGACCAGTAACATCTCCACAACTGCACATTTGAAGATGGTCTTTTTAGTCCATGGATAACAACAAAGTTTACATTATTCTTACTTTTTTAAAACGTTTTTGGCAGCTGATGGCTTCATGTTTGTATCCTTGTGTTTCAGATCATTAAACGGGCCCGGCAGAACTACCTCCTAGACCAGTACAAGGCGAAGCAGCCGCAAGCTGCTCAAATACTGCAGGATGTCCTGAGCGCCAGAGGGGTGAGACACAACATCCAGTTAACCTTTGATTTAATAATAATAATAAGCCTCTGTGTCTTAATAGATGGCGCTGTTGACAGAGGAGGACTGAATAAAAAAAAATCAGCTCATATGTCACATATCACAATGTGTGTTAATTTAGGGTGATTATTTATCACGATTATTTAGCTCAGTATTTAGATCACAGTAAACAGTTTGTTTAACCGACACAAGCCTGCATTCACTTCCATATTGTCCTATAGGTAAACCCATAAATTAGTCTGTCATCGAATGCAAAAATGTTGAACAAAATTAATGAAAAAAAATATAGACAATGTAACTGAGTTCAGTAATAACAGGAACACCACAGCAAACAGCAAAGCTCTGTCGACCTTCACAGAGACAAGTTTACAGACAAGTTTTGAAGAGCATCGGATCAAATGTTAGGGAAGCACGTCACCTGTGAGTAGGAAGCACCAGGTTTGATGCTGTAGAGACGGCTCTACTTTGTCTCGGTTTAACTGTAGAACCTAAAGACATCAGGCTACATGAAGATTCTCTGTAGGTCTCTCTTTTCACTTAAATCCTCCTGTGTTTGTGTTTGTGTGTGTGTGTTGATTCCTTGGTTTCCAGCCCTTTCAGGCCTATTTGGCTTCGACCACAGACCCAGACAAGAAGCAGATGCTGGAGAAGCTGGACGCCGCCGTCACCGCCGCTCTGCAGCCCCTGCAGGCAGCGATGGAGAGCAAAGACGAGGCGGTGCAGCCGCTGGCAGAGGTGAGACTGAGCAAACAGTCTTTACTGTAAATCCAAATTTAAATATGAATTTCCTTTTTCTCTGGAAAGAATGAAAATATTTCTCATCTTTTCTGATTTAAAATTATGTGTAGACACAGTGGGCATATAAGAAGAGAAATGTTATCTCAGTACAGGAGACAAGCCTGTAAAACTTTATGTTCTTGTTTGACAAATGTCTAAGCATGAGCAGTGTTTGTCTTATGTTCATCAATATGAAGATAAAGAATATAATGTATATTGATCGATAAGTTACTGAGTCAAAAGAAATACTACTAATAATTTTCCCTTCTTTTATTTTTGTCTTCCAAGGTGCTGTTGGAGAGCTCCAAGGACCTGCTGGCTGACTGGCTGGACAAACAGTTCGGAAGTCAAGTGACAGAGAACTCGATCTTCTCCATCCTCCCCAAATACTGGGAGGGAGAGTACCACAAAGACATGGCAGCCCTGAATGTGAGTAGAAGGGAAGCTTGAAGATGATGATTGAATGTTATTATATTTCGACTTCGCCCTCTCTCTCCAGGCGGTCATGCGCAAATCTTGTTGTTGACACATCGAGGAATATAGGACGTATATCTCATATCTGAAGCTTTTTAGAAAATGCAGTAGTCTCGTGGTGAATGTAGTGCTCTGTGACCTCCAGGTTCTTCCCCCTGATGTCCTCACTCGGGTCAGTGAATACGTGCCCGAGATTGTGGACTTTGTGAAGAAGATTGTGTCAAATGGTTATGGGTGAGTAGGAAGCCGCCACCGTCGGCAAATTACATTACTGCCCAGATTCTCAGTGTCAGCAGTGTTGTTTTAATCGTTTGGTTTTGTAATGTTCTCAGGTATGAATCGAACGGTTCTGTGTACTTTGACACCTCGAAGTTTGACGCCAGTCCACAGCACTCGTACGCCAAACTGGTGCCTGAAGCAGTCGGAGATCAGAAAGCTTTACAAGAGGGAGAAGGTACGTCATCATGGTTCAATTTTTTATTTATTTTTTTATTCCTGAAGCCCTATGTGTATAATTCTACAGTTACATACATTATGAAATCATATAAAAACATACGCTGTAACATGAAAGCTGAAGACGAAAGCTGTTGGTCTTAACTTTAAGGGTCAGTCGTGTTGCTCAGGTTATTTTCAGCTCGTCTTTGTTCTCTCCGGCCCTGCAGGTGACCTGAGCATCTCAGCCGACAGACTAAGTGAGAAAAAGTCCCAAAATGACTTTGCCTTGTGGAAAGCCTCCAAGCCAGGAGAGCCTTCCTGGGACTCTCCATGGGGGAAGGTGAGCATTCACTCTTAATTTAGGTGTGTTGTTAAGATGACTTGTAAGGCAAACCTGGACACCTCATGTTAGAGCCCCCCACTCTTCACACTCCCAAACATCTCCTGATTCCAGCTTTTCAAATACAGAGAACTGTTTTTATTTCTTTGTCATGTTCATTGTTTATTATGGAAAAATTATTCATTAATATGTTTGTTTTTGTTCTTTGTCGTGACAGGGAAGGCCGGGCTGGCACATCGAATGTTCGGCCATGGCCGGCTCTATCTTGGGAGAGTCCATGGACATCCACGGCGGCGGATTCGATCTCCGATTCCCCCATCACGACAACGAGCTGGCTCAGTCTGAGGTGCAGACGCAAAGTCTTATTCTCAACTTACTGAAAATATACATGTGTATATGGTGTTTCGAACCGGGGCCGACTGCAGCGAGGACTGCAGCCTCTCAACCCACTGGCGCCACTCGACGCCCCAATGGGATCTTTTTTTAAGCAATCTCCAGTCACAGAGAAAGTAAAATTGTTGTTCCCCTCACAGGCTTTCTTTGAGAATGACTACTGGGTCCGCTACTTCCTGCACACTGGGCACCTGACGATCGCAGGCTGCAAGATGTCGAAATCTTTGAAGAATTTCATCACCATTAAGGACGCCTTGGCAAAGAACACAGGTGACTCATCGGGCTCAGCAGGATGTCATGTTGTAGGAAACTGATTTTACAAATGATTCAGTCTGAACTGAAAGTCGTTCACAGTGAAAAAGTGAAAAAAAAAAAATAACATTGCAGGTTATGAACTCAGAACTATAATATTTAATAATGTTCAGATTCTCGAAGGCCAAAAAAAACTTGACATTGTCAGTCTCTTATATCAGAAGGTTTTGGAATAAAAAACTGTCGTCAGTCCTATTAAAGAAACATTGTTGACCCTTAATATAAGATGCAAAAGTTTTGTTCCTTGTATATCTGGGAACTTTAAGTTAAGAATTTATATATATATATATATATATATATAGATGTTTAGTATGATTTGTGGCTTATTATTATTATTTGCTTAATTACCACATTGAGGTTTTGTGCAAATCAAAGCAGCACGGATGAAAATTGTGTGTTTGGGATCATGAAAAATATATTTTAGTTTCTGTTTGGAGAAGAAATATGGGGGGAAGGGAGGAATAAAAATGTCTCAAATAGCCTTTGGAGATAAATGAGTATTTTGTTACTGTGTGGAGGCAGTAGAAATAACACTTCCTCTGTTTGTCCTGCAGCTCGGCAGCTCCGTCTGGCCTTCCTGATGCATTCCTGGAAAGACACCCTGGACTATTCTTCCAACACAATGGAGTCGGCCGTCCAGTACGAAAAGTTCATGAATGTGAGACAAATGAGCCTTTTTAGTTCAGCTGTGGCTTTAATCCTGAGATCTGTCTCTGTTTTGTGTTGATCCGATTTATGCCCTTTTCATTTAACAGGAGTTCTTCCTCAACGTAAAAGACATCCTGCGTGCTCCGACTGACATCACCGGTCAGTTTGAGAAGTGGGAGGCAGCAGAGGTGGAGCTTAACAGCAGGTAAGAGAGCTGATAAACCTCTTTAACAGATTTAACCTGCTGAAATCTACAGAAGTAGAATCAAAGTAACTGTCACAAAAAAACACTTCTGAAGATGCTAATGCAGGAATTCACGTTCAAGTTCAAGACTAAAAGCAATGGTTGCTTTTGTTGTCCAGTTTCTATGACAGGAAGTCAGCCGTCCATGAGGCTCTGTGCGACAACGTGGACACTCGCACCGCCATGGAGGAAATGAGGGTGCTAGTCAACCAGAGCAACAGCTACATCGCCAGCAGGAAGAGCGCCAAGCTGAAGCCCAACCGCCTCCTGCTGGAGAGCATCGCCGTGTATCTCACCAACATGCTGAAAGGTGAGCGCGGTTTTCCCCATCGCTGCTTTCATCCTCCAGACTCTGCTCTCCTCATAAATATAGTAGCAACTGTAGACTCTTACTGTTTATTCATTCCAGGTAGCGTGAGCTTTAAATAAATGTCTAATTTCATTATGTTTCCTGATTTAAAATATGATCTGATGTTCTGTATTATATAAGCGGTGGATGCATCGAACCCACTGAGATGAGTCTGTTGTCATGTAGGTATTTGGAGCCATTGAGGGATCGGATCCTATAGGTTTCCCCATGGGAGGACAAGCTCAGAGTGTTGATGTAAGTGACGAGACACTTCACATGGACCGAACAGTAGAAATGTATCACGTGACTCTGTTTTCTGTGAAGCAAACGTGTGATTTTATAGAACTTAATGTAAAATGAGCAGCATCAACTATCTGTGAAATCATTATTTCAAGCTGCTGATATTTAAGTGACAATGACTGAGATATTGTATTTTCCAGCTGGAGAGCACAGTGATGCCGTATCTCACAGTGCTGTCAGATTTCAGAGAGAGGGTCCGAAAAATCGCCCGAGAGCAGAAAGGTAAGAACCTGCGTTTAAAATCCAACAGGTGGCAATATTTCTCTTCTCCCTTTGTCTCTGCTTTAAATATCACTTTTATATCAAATCAGGGTCTAATCAAATCACTTTTTAAAAATCTGATCCAGTGACGGAGCTGCTGCAGCTCTGTGACGTGGTCCGTGACGATACGTTACCGGAGCTGGGAGTCCGACTGGAGGATCACGAAGGTAACGCAGCTTTCAGACTTCAGTATTCTGTTTTCTAAAGCAGAGCCACCTATGTAGTTTTTTAATAAAAGAATATTCACTTACACGTTACAGCTTAGGTCCATATTTTGTACCAGGTTCAGTTAATTAAGCAAGAGAGGATCGTTTTGTTGAAATAAGCAACTCTGGAACGTGATTTAAACAGAACAGGACCGACACGGTAATACTTAGTGTTTTTGTAAGAATTGTAAAGAAGTAAAATGAAAAATAAAACTGCTTGTTACAGGCCTGCCTACAGTGATGAAACTGGTGGACAAGGAGACATTACAGAAGGAGAGAGAGGAGAAGAAGAAGGTAAGAGGCGTGGGGGTGCTTATTTTAACTGTGCCCACATCAATGATATAATCACAGTGATTACTAAGCGATTAGAAATGAAAAACCTGGGAGCGTTTCTTCATATTTGACAGGTGACAACTGTCTGTGAAAAACCAGGTCTACTCCTGGTTGTTCTTTCTCCTGTGAACCACAACAGAACACATTAAACCCTGCTCTGATGGAGATGCTGATCCTTCCTTTGTCACATTTAACTGCATGAACGTCAAAGAAAAAGTAGATTATCTATGAACTGTGGTTTTCCTCTTTCACAGATGGAGGAGGAGAAGAAAAGGAAGAAGGAGGAGGCTGCCAGGAAGAAACAAGAACAAGAGGTCAGGCAGACATATAACAATATATATTTTTTGTCTTTTGAAGAAATGTTAAAACATACTGACAAAATAAAGATGATGATCATTGGTCATGTGATCCATGTATATATATTTATCACACCTGTGAAAGCTCTTGCACTGAGTGAACCTGAGGAAGCCACAGGCGAAACGCCTCGTTCGCTCTCAATAAAAGTCATCTCAGCGTGCGGTGGTTAAGTTTGATTTTCACTTCAGTTGTCCCTGCGACCAATCAGCAACTGATCGCTAATATTGACTGTGCACTGGTAGTTTGGTTCACCATTACTCATCACTGACTCACTGCTTTTACTGTTTCAGATGGCTAAACTCGCCAAGATGAAGGTCCCTCCATGTGAAATGTTTCGGACAGAAACAGACAAATATTCCAAGTTCGATGAGACGGTAAATCTCTCGGCTGCTTCTCACTCTGACTTTTGAAGGAACTGAATTTAAAGCATGACAAGCTGAAGAACACCAGAGGGTTAATGAAGGAGGATTTACATTACAGTCACAGGTTTGACTGACCTGCACAGGGGAAATTCTCTTTAAACCTTGGTTGTACACTAAATGAATATGGAACTTGGCTCAAAATTTGCACTGCACCAGCATGAAAACTTGACTAACCACAATTAAATGTTTTTTTTTGTTTTGTTTGTTTTTGGTGTTCTTGTTGTTAACAGGGTTTCCCCACTCATGACGTTGAAGGGAAGGAGCTCAGCAAAGGCCAAGCCAAGAAGTTGCGCAAGCTCTACGAGACCCAGGAGAAATTGCACAATGAGTACCTGCAGATGAACCAAAATGCCAACTGATTCTGTTCAGACTGTCCAAGCCATCCACTCTACAGAATACCTACAGAATAAATGTTAAGGCCACAGATGCTGGGTCATCGTTTGTCTCCTGATTATCTGGTTCGGATCAGAAAACAACAGGTTTTTTTTTTTCTTTTTCTTTTTAGAACAACGGTTAAACACACTTTCAAAACCAAATCTCAATTCATTCCACTTTTTTACAAATCGAAGGGTGGGGGGTGGGGGGTGGGGGGGGGGGGTTGGAGAGAGCAACATTAAGGAGACGTCCTCCTTGTTCTGTTTACGTCTCTTCATCTCTTTACAACAGCAAAAGCAAGGCTATAAATGAAGTGAGTTTTGAATAAATGAAGTGACACTGAACAGATGGGTGACAGATTAAAGAGGAACCTCAGGAAGTTGTTTATTCATCATAAGCCTCCAGAGCAGGGTCTGTGCTGCGTGTCCAGGTGTCTGAACTTGGATGGATGGAGCACCATTCTTCTAAAAGACGTTCTCTCATTTGGTATTTTGTTGTTTGCTGTTGTTCCAAAGTCCCCCATTATATTTCTCTTCAGGTTTTTCCTTAATTTGTCACCCGTCTGTATCTATATTTAGACTTGGCAGAAGGCACTAGAGCTGCAACGATTATTTTAATCATCAATTAATCTGCCTGTTATTTTCTCCATTATTTGTCTATAAAATTTGAGGAAATAGTAAAATGTGTGTTGTGTGAGGTGTAATCTTCTAACTGACGCATCAGTGTCTCACGCTGATGAAGCTGAAACCATTCTGTGTTAATCAATTATCGAAATGAATGCTCATTAATTTTTTGTCGATCAATTAATCGACTAATCGTTGCAGCTCTAGAGGGACCTTTGATTACAAATCAGCACCTGACCATTACTTTTTTTACTGTCATCGTTGCACCCGGTGCGGAGCATTTTTTCAATCTTTTTATTTCTTTTTCCAGGAATGTTGCTTTATACAACCGATAAATTAGTAACTGAATAAAAAGATGTTCTTTTGCATAAAAAAAAATCACCTTCACTTAATAAAATCTGGGAATGGAAACCTATTGTACTCGCAAAATGCTAACTAGTATTTGCAGATACGAGTGGAAAAGATATCAAATAAAAAATAACATTTTTGTCTATTTTCCCGTCACATAAATAAACATTTATTGCCTGATATTTGCAATTCACAAAAAACAATCAGTATTATGCATAAAGGCTGATCACCAAAGACTGAATTTGTAATTTGTTGTAACTTGTCAGTGTGTTGATGGTGATTACTGTACGACAATATTATCTATACCTAGAATATTTCACATATTTGCATCAGTCTTCTGTGTTTTTGGTTCATTGCTCTTTTACATCTTTGGTAACTGGATTTGTATTGTCTTAAAGGATAACGGCTCCACTATTCTATAGTTTTCTTATTGTTATCAAATCCTACAAAAAGACCAAAACAGATGCCTGTTAGTCCATCTCTCAACTTTACTCACTCCCCTGTCCAGTGGCTTTCAGCTCCAAGACCACTGGCTCACAAATGTATAGTTTTTTTTATGCACAGTAATTTGAAACAGCTGGACATTGCTGTGCATTTGTTGGGGACTACTTTTAACTGCAGGATTAATACACATATGACAGATTTTGACATTGAAGCTCTATGGCATAAAGGAATAAAACTTATCGAACAATACTTATTAGTATAATTAATTCATTCTTTTGCACTTGAAGAATATCACCAGACTTGTACTTTAAATCTGGGGCAGCTCTTTTCTCATCATACTGGGAAAATATAACTTTGTTATTGTTGTCTCTCGCGACTTGAGTGAAACCACGGGAAGAGGAGCCGTCCATTAGGGTTGTGTATTTTTCTACTGTTCATGTATTGCTGTGGCTGCAGCAACGCTCTCAGATAGGAAGATGCTCTAATAAAGAGGCAGTGAGTGTGACTTGTTCCTTTCAAGAAATAAAACTGGTCATCCTTGTGAACTCTTCAGGCTTCAGGAATGTTGACTCATAATGCCCAGTCATTACTGCAGTGGCTGACATTACATTATATTTTTATTTTAAAGAGAAACACCAGGTAAGACAGATGGATGGATGTTTATTAATCAAGTAAAAGACATTCAGACTTGTATAGCATGAGCCTTTAACTCTAATTACAATTTACAATTACAGTGTCGATTTAGTGACACTGCTGCCCAGTCTAACAATGCACTGATGATGACATCCTGAAGCAAACTATACGGTGGTTCAACCCCGGCAGCAGATGAAGCTCAAGAAAGCGTGCCACTGTCAGCATCCCTACCCAAGAAGACCAGCCTGCTGTTTACTAGAAGCTTCATTCTTTTCCTCCCTTTCTTCTCTCTTCTTCACTCTTCAAATCCAGAGTTCCTCTCCTGTCTTCTTCTCACCTGTTCTCCATCCATCTCCTCCTGGTTCTTCATCACATATTTTTCTCCTCTCTTCATCTGTTAACTTCAGCTTTTCACTCCTTTCTATTCCTGCTTCCTCTCCTGGTCCACAGGTTATCCTATCCTGTCCCCACCCTCTCTCACTCATTTCCCTGATGGCTCACCCAGCTCCCCAAAAATAAATAATAATATAAATGGCTATTTCCCAAGTACAGTACTAATAAAGTCCAGAGACTGACAGGAAATTAAAGCAAGTTGAAGTTATAAATATAAATAATGTTATAATAAACTTTATATACGATTCAGGGCTTTTGGGAAAACATCTGGGGATGGAGCCGCATAAACCTCACCCCTCGCTCCGTTTATGGTACCAACACCATCAGCATCACTGCTCTTCTTATATTTTTCATTTTGTCTTCACTTATCTGCTCATCTCATCTCATTCTTTTCTTTTCTGTTGTCTTGTAGTGTGCCCCCCCCTTCTGTAATACTGCATTTATATGAAAAGGTGCCACAAAAATAAGCGTGTTTTTGGAAAATTGGGAATTGTGCCTTGAAACCTCGCAAAGGGAAGAAACAGTATCATAGTAGTTATAAAGCGACCCCTGTGGTCAAATGATCAAACAACAGGGACATAATGTATTTTTCTCAGAGTGGATGTACACTTGCATACGGACGTGTTGGCACTTCACGTATTGTAATCTGCAAGTCCCAACTCTACATACCAAGCACTTTGACCGGGACAGCTCTCTGTGTGCGAGTGTGTGGTCCGTGCGTGTGAATACAGGCTGTGAACCTAATGTTAAATGTTGTCGTCAAAAACAGCTGGATGCTACTCGGCTAGCAAGCTTTAGCAGAGAGCAGCCTCTGCAGAGCGGGGAGGGTGGCAGATCAAATCCGCGCTGCAGGACTGGAAGGATGGGCCACTGCATGGTAGGCTACCGCCGTGTTTACCATGACGTATATGTGCAGATTTCAGTGTTGTATACTTGTCCGGACATCTTTTTTTTTTTTGGTGCCGTGTGTGCAGTGATCGGTGAGGATGAGGAGCCGCAGTAACTCAGGAGTGAGGCTGGATGGATATGCCAGGCTGGTCCAAGAGACTATCCTGTGCCATCAGGTGAGTGCAGTCATACAGGAGAGAAGTCAGTGCTGTGCACCTGTCTCCAGACACATTTGCACAGTGGTGTGCCCAGATATTTTGCCTCGGTTAAAGTAGCCAATGCAGGGCTACCATCCAGGAAAGGCCCCCTCAAGCCCCAGGTTCACCACATATTGTTTGGGTCTACATAACTTGCTTAATAACCAATGTCTTAGAATTTGCCCCCAGTAAAGTACAACATCCTCAGGTCCTGTATCTTGCATCCCCAGTCTGGTAAAGAGACTCTATGTCAAAATCAAGCTTTAAGACCTCATTATTTTAGTTTATATTGTAAATCATGTTAAATCTTACATTTTTTCTTTATGTCAAGTAATTGACACACTCAGACCATCAGGTAAGGTAGTGTTATTCCATCATAGAAGAATTGTAAGGCTGCAACCAACAATTACTTTCATTATCAATATGTCTGACATTTATTTTCCCTAATAATTGATTGATTGTGCAGTGTATAAAATGTCAGAAAAGGGCACATCATTATTTCCTGAAGCCTGAGTGAACATATTGTTGTCAAAGCAACAGTCGAAAATCTAAAGATGTTGAATTTGCTATCATAAAATACTTGGAAACTTGCAAATACTCACATTTAAGAAGCTGGTACCAGTTTGAAAGTTTTTGCATGAAAATGACTTAAACAAATTATCAACTAATTAATTCAGCTTTAGTATACTCATTTGAGAATAATGTAGTAATGTTAAAATTACCATGTTAGCATCGTTTTAACTATTTTAACTACTAATGGGTAGCCTTATTTATAATAATGCATCATAATTTGTTTGTTGTTTTTATTTTGTATTGATGGTATATGTATGATATATGACACAGAGGAAAAGATCATTTGGTTTTGACAATGTCTAAAGCTACGTCACTTCTGGATGAAGGTTGATTAATGTATAAGCCATGTGTTTGGTAAAGCAGTTCTTCTTTGAGCCAAACTCTGTGTACTTAGAAGTTATCCACCAGACTTTAATGTCACTTTGCAGCAAGTCGAGAAAATAAGGAAACACCTTCTTCAGGAGTGTAGAAAAAGGAAGTTGCTTTTTAAAGGGAAAGACACAAACTTTACTCTCACTGAGGTACAGTATACTTGAGTGACTTTCCACCACTGCATTTGCATGCACAGGAGCTTTAAGCTGTGTCTAGCTTTGTATGCTTTTTATGTTTCTGTAATCAAGTCCTCCATCTTATCCTGCAGAAACGTGTTGGATATGCAAATGTCCTGTAGCCTGTACAGGTTCAGGTTCAACCAGATTGAGCTGCACAGAGGTAAACAAGGCCAGAACAAAGTTCAGCCTGAGGAATAGGCTGAGGACCGGGAAACTATGCACCTTTATCTCTCAGCACTTGAGTTCACAGTCAACAGCTGTCTAAGTTTAACGCTGTGACCCACAGTATTCACAGCTGATAGAAAACAGTGCCAGCATTCCTTACAGAGCATGTACTGTACATGCAAGGCTGTAGGTTTGGTTTCAAGCAATCTGAACATGTCACTTTAAGCTCTGGAAATTTGTGACCAACATTTTAATCTTTTATCTGATATTTCAAGAGAATGATTGCCAGATAAATCGATAATGATAATTATCAGCTGCAGCTCTGAAATGATTCTTTCTGCAGTGTTTTTATAAACCCTGAGTATCGTCTGCAGATGGTTCAGATAGCCTGCCTGAGACGCAAAACACAGGAACAAAACCCAGAACGTTTTGATTTATTGTCAGATCCTCTCTTATCCTAATTAAAGTGGCTGGTCAGTAAAAGGTTCACAGAGAAATGAATGGGCACATCAAACAGAAACTGTAAATGTGTTGAGGAAATTAAATCGAGGAAATCAAAGGATCTTAAGCGTGAGGACGATATGTCCGGCCCCGCCCTGGACGTAAATGAATGCCGCATGTGTCTGCGTTTGTTTCAGAACCCGGTGACAGGACTCCTGCCTGCTAGTGCCCAGAAGAAGGATGCCTGGGTGAGGGATAATGTGTACAGCGTCCTGGCTGTGTGGGCGCTGGGCATGGCCTACCGCAAGAACGCAGACCGCGATGAAGACAAGGCCAAGGCCTACGAACTGGAGCAGGTGTGTTTGGAGAGAGAGAGAGGGTTAATGTGTACGTTGATGTTTAGAATAAAAGTATGATCAAATACTGGACTAAAAATGGGAAACTGTTTGGATCAGAGTGACGTTTTGTTTGATTTTTACATCTGTGGTTTACTGATGAGGTGTTGCTGTTTGTTGGCAGAGCGTGGTGAAACTGATGCAGGGGCTTCTACAGTGCATGATGAGGCAGGTAAGGTGCACCTGAGCTCACATTAAGTGTTTACATGTTCGTTTGTGTTTGCACACATTAACGTCATGCCGTGGTGCCATGGATGTCCGATAAGCCGGTGTTGTGGTTCTGAGAAAAAACGGCTCTGTGTACTGTGTACTCTGTGCAGACGGCTGCTGTCTGCGCAGGCAGGTTGACCTCAGGTCACATATGTAGTTAGTCAGAAAACCAAACAAACAATTTTTACTGTTTCACCTTCTGTTACTGGAAATAAGAAAAATATGCAAAATTCACAATAAAGTGTTAAAATGCTGCAGTGCTCAGGGAGCCATGAAGCAAAGAGGCTTCATCCTCTGCTGCTGAGATATTTTTGTGGAAATTGCATTACATAAACATCATCATCAGTAGGCCTAAAGAAATTCTACTTGAGTCTCACTGGGATGTTGATGAACAAGCAGACAGTGATCAGAAACAGGATGTGGAGATAAGTGGGAGTGTGCATGTGAACACACTCCTTGAGATTTATCTAACTGTGAATTAATGTTAATGCCCCCCAAAAATACTTAAAAACACCTAAAATGAAAAAGTGAAATGAATCTATTCAGTTTTCATGGTAATCCTGCGATATCTCTTTTTGGTCCCCTCCGGCCCAGACGAACATCACCGAGCTGTCTGTTGGTATTTTGCATGTTCATGTGTTCTCAGGTGGAGAAGGTGGAGAAGTTCAAACACACCCAGAGTACAAAGGACTGCTTGCATGCCAAATATGACACTCCCACCTGTGCCACAGTGGTCCTGGATGACCAGTGGGGGCATCTCCAGGTGGATGCCACCTCGATTTACCTGTTGATGCTGGCGCAGATGACAGCCTCAGGTACAGCAGTGATGCAGAGCGCTGCTTTTTACTATTTGCTATTACTATTTACTATTTGGGACGGATAAAGTACCTCACCACTGAACTCTTTAATTTCATTTGGTCGCTGAGTGTGTGACGTTATCGTGCAGGTCTGCGCATCATCTCAAACCTGGATGAGGTCGCCTTTATCCAAAACCTGGTCTTCTACATAGAAGCTGCCTACAAAGTGGCGGTGAGTAACATTATCAGAGGTTGGAGAGGTTGGTTCCTAGAAAGCAAGAGGTAGAAGCTGATGATCTCAGATGGCAGTGTATGTGGTCAACTTGAATTGTGGGTAATGAAGGCGCCATGGCTGATACCTCTGGTTCAGCTGCGTTGAGTTACTTAAACTCTCCATTATTAATCTGACAGTTGATGTAGCTCAATGCTAAATCGGTGCAGTACTCTTTTGAATGTGATGCCCAGAGCATAAGAAATGATGTCATCCCCTTTTTCCCCCCTGTAGGATTATGGGATGTGGGAGCGAGGTGACAAGACCAACCAGGGCATCCCAGAGCTCAATGGCAGCTCTGTAGGGATGGCCAAGGTACAGGAGCCACAGGTTCTATTTATCATTGTCAGCATTTGTGATGTACAACACATTAAAGACCAATCTTGTATAAAATATATATTGCTGCTTGGGGGCGGGGGGGGGGTCTGCAGGCAGCTCTGGAGGCCATAGATGAGCTGGATCTATTCGGTGCCCATGGAGGACCGAAGTCAGTCATCCATGTTTTGCCTGATGAAGTGGAACACTGCCAGGTACCGGTGGCTTTTCCTCCAGCCATCTCAGCATCATCTCTGCTCATCGTTTTTTGTCTGCTCAGCGTGTCTGTGTGATTTCCCTCAGTCCATCCTGTGCTCCATGCTACCGAGAGCTTCAACCTCTAAGGAGATAGACGCTGGTCTTCTGTCCGTCATTTCCTTCCCCGCTTTTGCTGTTGAAGACGCTGACCTGGTGGCCATCACTAAGTCAGAAATCATAGGCAAACTGCAGGTACAGTCTAAGCATGGGAAGCACAGATCATTTGTTTGGGATGACTCTGAACAGAAACACAGTACAAAACTATTACCTATAATTTTCCCTTGTACATACATGTAAGTCAGTCAGTGTAATTTCAGGGTCGCTTCGGCTGCTGCCGCTTCATCAGGGATGGATATCGTTGTCCTAAAGAGGTAACATATTTTGCATATATAAAATCTGAAACCTGGTGTTGGTATTGTTTCATTGCTGCAGTAAAATGAATAGTGTTGGTGTTACTCCACACCTGAAGTAAGACATGAGAGAATAAGTTCAAGTTCAAGTTCCCGGCTGTCGTCCCACTAGGACCCGTCTCGGCTGCACTACGACCCCGCGGAGCTCAAACTGTTTGAGAACATCGAATGTGAATGGCCTGTGTTCTGGACTTATCTCATCCTGGACGGTATCTTTGCTGAAGACCAAGTGCAGGTAATAAAGGCGCACTGGCCCAGAATCCATATGCAGTCTCTACTATATCCACAGTCATGGAGTTATGTAGAATGACTGTGTGCTTTCGCTCAGGTGCAGGAGTACCGTGAAGCACTGGAGGGCATTTTGATCAGAGGGAAGAACGGCATCAAACTGGTGCCTGAACTTTATTCTGTGCCACGTGACAAGGTATCCCACTCCCAGAAAAGAAAAGACGTGGCAGATACACCCCCCTCTTCTAGCCATGTTGTAATAACATGGGCCAACAAACCCAACAAGTCGATCGAAAGCAGCTTCATAAAAACATGTTATTCCTATTACAGCCTGTCAGCAGTAAAACTAGTGTCAGGGAACAAATAAGACTGAGAATATATTTTTGCCTGTTACAGGTGGAGGAGGAGTACAGCAATCCTCACTCAGTGGACAGAGTGGCCATGGGGCAGCTGCCGCACATGTGGGGACAGTCGCTCTACATCTTGGGCTGTCTTCTGGCCGAGGTATTCACACGGTGCCTGGACACCACCTCAACTGTTTCACCTGTCACAGGCAATGGACAGTGTCACAAATCAGGAATGATATGGGTTTCATATTTTAAATGAGGATAAAAAAAAAAGGCACTGCTACAAGATGTCCATGAAAGCCAAACACACCACTTCTCCTTTATATATTTACATGCAGTAAAACCACTGCCTTTGTATTAATTCACCTTCCCTGTCTCTGCCTCTCCTTTTCTTTCTGCTATAAGGGGTTTTTAGCACCAGGAGAGATAGATCCTCTCAACAGGAGATTCTCCACAAACTTCAAGCCGGATGTTGTGGTACAAGGTTGGTGATCGATGAAGAGTGTCAGGAAAATGTTGGATTAAAAATTATGTGGAATCCCAGAAAAAAACGAGAAAATCTGGAACAAGAAGTCGTTATTTTCAACTCCTGAGTCTGTGGTGCTCATCTCACACCTGGATGAATTTGTTGCATGGATTAAAAATGGAGAGGGAAGATCTTTACCACACGTAGAGCAGTGTTGCATCCACAGCCTTGATCATCTTGTTGCAGCTAAACAAACAGGGTTTATCTGCTGTCAACTGGTTGTTTTTACTCAGACTCAATTCTGCATTGTCAGTTGTGTCTTTTGAGTCAAGTTTTGTGTATTTGACAGTATGAGAAGGAGTGCATAAATCAAATCAATCAAATCAAATCAAAAAATCGCGGATGTTCACAACATTGTTTTATGTACAGATTTCCTCATAGAAGGAAGGATATGATTTATTTCCTTTTACACGTGTGTGTCAGTTTGCGTTCTAGCAGAGTCCGAGGAGATCCAGGAGTTGTTAAGTGATCATGGGATAACGGTCCAGACCATGACGGAAGTTCTGCCTATCAGGGTCATGCCTGCTCGCATCCTGAGCCACGTCTATGTCAGACTGGGTAAACAAGCACAAAGCGCTACTGGCTTCTGTAGTGTACGGGCGTGTGTTTGTGTCTGTTTAACAGTAAGAGTATCGTCTCGTGTCATTGCCACAGGGAACTGCAAGAAACTGAATTTGAGTGGGAGGCCCTACAGACACATCGGAGTTCTGGGAACGTCCAAATTCTACGAGATCAGAAATCGCTTCTATATATTCACCCCCCAGGTAAAACTAGCCTGAGATGCTGTGATGTTCAAAATCACAACAATGAAGCTATATATTAGAGGGAGGTAGGAATGAACACCAACAGTTAATACTTTGGTTTCTTTCTTTCTGACTGTTTCTTTATTTTCTTCTTCCCTGTCCAGTTTTTGGATCAGCATCATTTCTACCTGGCACTGGACAACCAGATGATTGTGGAGATGCTACGAACAGAGCTGGCCTATCTCTCCTCTTGCTGGAGGATGACAGGACGACCCACACTCACTTTCCCCATCACCCGCAGCATGCTGGGTAATAAGGCTCTTAACCCAAAGCAAATAACTGTTAACTGTTCCATATAGTACACACATAGAGTAGTTAGTATAGTGTATTTATATATAGAGCATATGAACCTTGCTCTATTGGACGTGAATCAAACTGTAACTTTACACTGCTACTGCCAGTTACATTTAACAAAGACAGGGAAATGTTTTGTTTTTTCCTTTCACGAGTTGGACAAAGGTTTCTGTTATGTTGGTGCTGCTTTTTGGGCCGCAGGAGATTTTTTTTATCGCAATACCGAATGACCACTGGAAAAACCAACAGCAGAACTGAGTGGCTGAGTGTTTTTATCTCTCTCTATACATTCATGCTCACAGTTAGTTCCATTTTTTTTGGCTCCTCCATTTTTTCCCCCTGTTTTTTATGTTGTGTTTAGTAGCTTATGCTTTGTCACTTCTTCAGCGTGCATGCTACAGTACATACTCATACAGATTTATAATGTTTTACAGTTTTGGAGCACTGATTTTGTTTTCAGTCTTAATGGAAGTTTTGATGGACGTTTCTCTCCCACACGCTGTGATCGTGAATGTATATTCTGTTCATTTCCATGTTGCCGTTTTGTCAAATTATTTCATCGCGCCGCACAGCATTTATTTACTTTTTATGTCCAGTTGAAGATGGAGATGCGATTGATCCGTGTATCCTAGCAACCCTAAGGAAACTACAGGATGGCTATTTTGCCGGAGCGAGGTCTGTTTCCATCTGCGACACAGGACTTCATACCATTACTGTTAATAGAAAGTCTGTTTCTACAAGTGCATTGTGGGTATTTTGTGTGGATGTTACTGCAGGGTGCAGATGTCAGACCTCTCCAGTTTCCAGACCACTTCATTCCACACTCGTCTCAGCTTCCTGGATGAAGAGAATGATGACAGCTTGCTCGAGGATGAGGATGAGGATGAGGAGGATAATGACGACTATGGGGAGGAATATAACAAATTTGGGCGCTCAGGTAGTTAGCCATGAACAAAATGTGTGCGTGCGTGTGTGTACCTTTCAGTCATATTTGATTAATGAAGTTGAACTGTGAGTAAATGTGTGATGTATTTAACTGCAGAGGGCTCAAGAGACATGTTTGACCAGTACCTCACGCAGCTCCTCCACAGCACCAACACCAAGAGCCACCTTCCTCCCATCCAGGGGGGGCAGCACCATGTCTTCAGTGCTGAACACACCACGAGAGACATCCTGTCTCTCATGGCCCAGGTCCAGGGCCTGAACATGCCCAGTGAGTTATCCTGAAGTATAATCATCTTAGGTACAGGGTCGGAGTGGGTATTGCTTGAAAACGATTCATTCAAATGCTCATACTATACCTGAGATTTGCATATCAAAACAATGCTTTTTTTTAATACCTTACATTAAGGGATACAGACATGTTTTCATACAAAACCCTTAAAAGTGGCAAAAGTTCTCAAATGTTTGAGGCTGTCAAAACAGAAGCTGTGGTACAGGAAGTTAAGCAGTAAGTACTAAGTTGTAAGTTCAGAGTTTGTTTGCAGCTTTGTTATTCTCTTCAGTAGCTGGCTTCATTTAGACTGCATGACCAAAGACATATTGGATAAAACATACAACCTTTATTTTACATTCAACAGACAAAAAAATTATAAAATAACACCAATTTTTACAGTAATCCCTAAAGTCCATAATGCAATGCAGTCACAAGACAAGTTGCTTTGGAGGCTCTGTTTGCTCTGTCTGCTCTTTCCTGTCAATGTCAAGTTTAACCTGCAGCAAAAAGAACAAAATGAGTGAAAATGCATTGTCAAAGTGTTGTCAAAAGGTTTACTGGAAACGTAGGAAATCATTATAGGTAGATGAAGAAGAAATGTGAGTCCACCAGAAATATAAACTATTCCTGTTGTTTTTTGTAATGCATTGTTTTAATTATGTACGTTTCAGAGTACTCCATGTATCTCCCTGTGGCTCCTGTCATGAACAAACACCGCAGATCTCTCAACCTTCTTGAAGTTCCTCACCCTCAGCGTGGCCCACAGGCAAAGCAGCCCAAGGTAGGCACAGCTGATACTTGTTTCTCTTGTGACTTCAGTAATGCTCTGAAAAGGATTAGTCTGACACTGACATCCCTCACAAGCCCCACGGTGCCGCTGATCTGCACCTGCCTCGAGACTCTCAGGGCAACACAGACTTTGCTGCGCTGGTGAGGCAGCTGAAGGAGTGTCCCACTCTGCAGGACCAGGCCGACATCCTCTACGTCCTCTACGTAATGAAGTATGGACATTGAGACGACTTCGAACACACAGTCACACATAGCTCATCGGTAGTCTGGCACACTAATGATTAAACAATGTGGTTTTCTTCTCACGACCAGAGGAGCTGATTGGCCGGTGGAGTTGTCAGGCCCTGGTCAGGGCGGGGTCAGTGTGCGTTCACTGTTGGAGGAGCTGTATGTACAAGCTGGAGCCTGCAAAGAGTGGGGACTCATCAGATACATCTCTGGAATACTACGCAAGAGAGTGGAGGTCCTCGCTGAGGTCAGTCAGAAGTCATAGTCATTTTTTTTTTTTTTTATCCCAGCAGCCAACAGGGTGGCTCAGGGGCTAGTCAGTTTTTTGTCAGCTGCATATAGTTCTGACATACAACAGCATGCAGGCTGTAAATAACCCGTGATGCTACACAACTAAAAGTTATTGACGTGAAAAACCTGTCCAGGCTGGATGTGCATTAATAGAATCCAACCTGCAGAAATTGCAGATTCCCTGAGCCCACCTAAATAGAGGCAAATACTTATAAAGGCATAGTACATATAACTGACACACATTCATATTCAAACCACCTTTATATAATCCGTCCTGATCTCAACAATAAGGTCCCAAATAAAGGTTAAAAAACATATCACATTCATGGTTGAAAACATTTGAAGTCATTATGAAATCACGCTCTTGGCATCTTCCATCTGGTTTAAGCACTGGACAACAACTCACTTATCAAAATAGACACAAGGCTCAAACGCCATCTACTGGCCATGGAAAAAAATGGAATCGTAACACTGACTTCAGCACTGAGCAATGATGCGACACGCTCAATACCTGCTGAATAACTTGTGCGGTCGAACCGGGGGAAAGGTAAAACTTTGCTACAGAGTCACTGAATTATAAGATTATTTTTAACCAGTTGATTTGTATTTGTCTGCTCCTCAGGCCTGCACTGATCTTATTTCCCATCACAAGCAGCTGACTGTGGGTCTACCTCCTGAACCCAGGGAAAGAGTCATCACAGTGTAAGTCATTGTAACAGGCGTGTTTGTGCTCACATTGTTGAATTAATTACCACATAAATAAATGAACTCTTCTTCCTCGCTGTTTCTTCTCAGGCCACTTCCTCCCGAGGAGTTGAACACTCTCATCTATGAAGCCAGTGGTCAGGACATCAGTATAGCCGTACTCACTCAGGTAAGTCTTTAACCGTTTGGACTGCCCTCAGGATTTATTTCCAGACACTTTCCTAACACCTGCGAACTGTGCGCGTTTGTCATATAGGAAATCATGGTCTATCTCGCCATGTACGTGCGCTCCCAGCCTGCTCTGTTTGGGGACATGCTCCGACTCAGGATAGGACTCATCATGCAAGTGATGGCCACTGAGCTGGCTCGTAGCCTGCACTGTTCTGGTAGGAGAACCGGCCACCAGCTTACGCACAACTGTGAGCATACACAAACCAACACACTGCACAGGTGAAAATGAAAAACCGTGTCACACCTTTGTAGGGGAGGAGGCATCTGAGAGTTTGATGAGCCTGAGTCCGTTCGGCATGAAGAACCTCCTGCATCACATCCTCAGCGGCAAAGAATTTGGGGTGGAGAGGAGTAGTGAGTTTTTTTTTTTTTCCTTTTTTCTTTGTCTCTCTTTGTCTTTAGTTCTGAGTGAGAAGAGGAGAAGAAATTAGGGAATGAGGTCAGAATGAGCCAGAATCAAGTAGAACTGAGAACGTGGCCCAAGGTGTGACGATGGCGGTTTTGTCGGTCAGTCCACCACTTTGGTCCAGACTGAGATATTTGATAACTATTTGATGGAGTGCTTGTATCACATTTTTAATGGCTCTGGCATCAGGAGATAATGTCATGCTTAAAAAAAAAATCCCACCTCAGTTGCTTTTCCATCTGGTGAAAGAGCCATCAACCACAGAGCACTGAGAGCAGGACAGAAGCAAAGCAAGTAAAGGGCTGAAACTGGATGCTGCAGCTATATGCTGGAATAGGTTCTGACCTGGTCTTGTTTGTCTGTGTTTCTGTTCATTAGTGCGCCCAATCCAGTCAACAGCCACTAGTCCTGCCATCTCCATCCATGAACTTGGCCACACCGGAGCCACTAAGACCGAACGCACAGGAATACACAAACTAAAGAGTGAGATAAAACAGGTGAGAGGCATCATTAGAAAAGAAAGAAAGTGGATGATAATCAGTTTGCAGCTTTGTAAATGTATGCTGTGGTGTGTGCTTTGTGAGTTATCTATCTATCTATCTATCTATCTATCTATCTATCTATCTATCTATCTATCTATCTATCTATCTATATAACAGTGTTCTTGCCTTTGGTTGCAGCTGGATGACTCTCGGCCTCTCAGTGTGGGTTGGATTTATAATAATATCTAGCATGTGACTGTTTCTAACCTCAGTCTAAACAACCAAGTCGCCGGCTATATCCCGCTCATAACCCACTCGCTGGCTCTTAACATTTTGTGAGCCACAGCGTCCTCCATATCTGGATCGTCTTTCACTTCATCGCACATCAGTAGGAGAACATGCTTTGCTTCTCTTCCGAGTATCACATAGTAATTGTCTTTTTTTTTTTGCAGAAGAGTATCGAAATTTAAAATAATGTTTCTATGAATTCATGAGCCTGTGAAACAATCAGAGTGTTGATTAAGCCGCTTTTAAGTAGCACACCCTCATAACTCATTATATGGAGTGTTATCATTTGTTTGTTGAATGGTCTTTCTTGTGATCAGTCTTCAAGAGTTGAATTATGCTTTTCACTTCACAGATTGTAACATTGTGCTGCTCTGTGTGGCTGCGGTGTCGTCATGACTGTAGTATGAGAACCATGTGAACCATGTCATACCGTTCTCTGTCATCTGTCATCCATATCCACGTGTAGATCTTCAGCGGTGGTCATTCCTTGAGTAGCAATGTCACTTCTCCTCGCTCCACGGTAAACCATTTCACCTCATCTGCTTCATATGATCTCGGGTTTGTCCTGCTTAGGGACGCTGTAGTTAGACTGTGTGTATGTTTGTTTGTTTTTTTTTATTTATTTAAGATTTCATATTTTTTGTAGTTACTAAAAGATTCCTCGTGCTTCGCTGCATTTAAGGACAAGGCTGATGTTATAGTTTGTTTTTTTTTAAATTATTGTCAACAAATGTCCTAAAGAGACTTAAACCAACAATTATACCAGAACAAAAGTATTATAATACGGCGATATGTCAGCCAGTGCAGTGCCATTCCTCTCTTATGTTTTGGACAATAAGAGCTATACTGCCTAATTTCTAGTTCGTAATGTTGTAATCCTGTTGAAAATCATGTAAAGCACCTAAATTATCATTATTATTGTTGTTATATCAGGCTGTTAGTGAGCTCAATTAATCTTTTTTTGGTCTTCTTTAAAGTAATTAAAAACACTAAAACACAGAATAACACCAGTCTTGTCCTCTAATATGTCTGCTCAGGTGTCTTGTATAAGTAATAGAGCATGAGATCGATATGCATGACTGATTGCACGGACTGCGTGACTATGGATTAGTGTTAAAACTGGCTGCAGTCGAAAAGTAAAAAAAAAAAAAAAAAAAATCCTAACCACTTCTCCTCGACCTCGAAGGAAAACATCAACCGCCATCGCCAAGGAACTGTGGGACGGCGTTATCTTCTTTCCTCTCGTAAAGAAAGGTTCAGTGTATCCTAAGCTATGCCCCTTAGATACTTCCAGGTCATTTCACTCAGTGAACGCAAAAAAAACTTTTCGATCACAGCCTTATTTTTTGTGTGTGTGTGTGTGTGTGTGTGTGTGATATATGACTGCTATGATCAACATTATTTCCATGTATTTATTATGGCATGACAAACCTACATATGCTATTACTCTTGTCAGTAAACTGTATCTTGTAAATAGGCTCTGTTCACCACCACCCGTCGTAAACCTCATGATGCAGTCGGGTTCAGTAGTTAGGAAGACTGGTTCAAATCCAGGTCTAGATTTTCCACATCAGTCTGTTCAGGGGATCTCGGGGAGAGCCGCTGCATATGTGTGGGAAAAAAAATACGATCTGAGAAATCTCCTCAAGTGATGTCACTTGAGTCAGCATTGGTTAGTGAGCTCCAACATGATGCCAGTTAACAGAGAAGTGAAATTGATCCCTGAGCCTGTGTGCAACAAACACTGACAAGTATAATAATGGTGTATATCAGGAATACATTTAAGGCCGAGTGATCCATTAAACATGTTCTAACAGCATCTTTCTGTTCTCGCACCGCAGCGGTGCAGCAGCCCCTCCACCCCCAGTGGGATCCTGTCCCCAGTGGGCCCTGGTCCTGGAGACGGACAGCTGCACTGGGAGGAGAGGCAAGGCCAGTGGCTGAGGAGACGCAGGCTGGACGGAGCTATCAACAGAGTACCCATGGGTTTCTACCAGAAGGTCTGGAAGATCCTGCAAAAGTGCCACGGCCTGTCCATCGATGGATATGTGTTGCCTTCTTCTACCACAAGAGAGGTAGCATCTGTCAGACTTGCAGCTAAAGCTAGCTAGATTTATGACTTTCTGTGTGTGTGTGTGCGTGTGCGTGTGCGTGTGTGTGTTTAATTCTGTGTTTTCTGTGCAGATGACAGCGGGAGAGATCAAGTTTGCAGTGCAGGTGGAGTCTGTCTTGAACCATGTCCCTCAGCCAGAGTACCGGCAGCTGCTAGTGGAGACTGTGTTGGTTCTGGGCTTGGTGGCTGACGTGGACGTGGACAGCATCGGTGGCATTATCCACGTGGACCGCATCCTGCATTTAGCCAATGACCTCTTCTTCAATGACCAGGTACTGATGGCGAGAGATACATTTTTTCCTTTGACAGGTTTCCATGTATCTGTGCACCTGGGTTCACCCTTTTCTACCTCTGCATTCCCAGAAATCCCACAGTGCCAGCGATTATTTCCTTGAGAAGGATCCAGCGACGGGAATCTGCAACTTTTTCTATGATAGCGCCCCGAGTGGCAGCTATGGAACCATGACCTATCTGTCAAAGGCGGTGATCACTTATGTCCAGGACTTCCTGCCAAGCTCCAGCTGTCTGATGCAGTGAAAAAGCAGACAAGTGTGTCTTGCTGCTCCTGTTCTCTGCTCCAAACACCTGAGGAGACACGTTATATAAGGAAAGGATCGACTGGTCAGAGGCAGCAGCGCTTCTCATTGTCAGCTCATACAGTTCATGTGGTGCTTGTAAGTATTTCCTCAATCAATAATCAATAAACTCTGTAGCTCTCACACACTGATATAACATCATAGCCTCGGCAGCTGATTGCAAACCACTAAGTAACAATTCATTTTTTTCCTTGTGGGTCTGGACTGTGAACTTATTTATTACTTGCTGTAAAACATATGTTTACAGGACTTACTAACATGCATCTTATGTCAGCTGACATTTGCAAAGATATAAGCACGTTTCAGTGTCCTTGGTGTTTGTGAGAATATTATATTAACAGGCTGTCTTATAACTGAATATGTCATACGCCCAGCAGTTATCAGAGTAAACATTTTGATCATTTGTGCACACATTGTCCCACAAATCAATAATTTATACTTTTATTTTCTTCCTCTATTAACATTTAGTTTGATTTGTATTTAGTAATATAATAGAATTATTATATTGTAATGGCTGAAGGAAACATAATAAGATATAAATTATAAAAACAATTTGTAACCTCAAATTACTTCATTTCCCCCCTACAAATGAAAAATATTACCTCTGATAGCTCCCAGGCTTTTTATAATACAGTGCTGATGGAGATTATTGTCCCTTTTTCACCTCCTCCTATGTGCTATGGTCTTGTTTTCATAATAACCTGTAGGGGAACAATGATCATACTTTTCTCTAAATACCAAGATGATTCTGTCTTTGTGTATGTGTTGTGTGTTTTGTGCAATGGTGAAGATGAGGCCGTCTTTGTATGAATGTCACCCTGAGGTTATGCTACTGATATGGCGAGTCATCGTTTTGCATGGACCTCAAACGTATGGAAGGTTTGTTCATTTGTGCAGAGTGAGGATGAGTTTATATCTGGTGTGTATGGGTAGGAGTCAGCTTTAATACCTGTTTATAGTAGTGTTTTATATACTGTATATACACGGTACAGTATACAATGGATATGTAAGGCTAGGTATCGATACAGTAACAGAGAGGTCCAGAGTATGTTGAATAAGGTCTCTGTAAGTCTGACAAGAGCGTTATTCTGCTTAAATGTGAAACAACTTTCATCCCTGTGCTTTGATGTTGAAAACAGCAGGAAACATGTGTTAATATATTTTAATGCTAACTAATTTACATAAAACTATTAAAATAAATACAGGTATATTTAAACATAGAATTATTTTCCCTGTTATTATTATACATTATGCAGATTATCTATTTAACATTGAAAGACCTGTTCATTTATTTTAACAATGCAGTTGTGCCTCATTTCCATCAGAACAGTATGTATATTATGACATTTTCATAACCTGTTCATACAATAATAAAGCCATTTAACCAAAGATGGTGACCTTTCATTAATCTATATATCTTTTAGCCACATATAGTTTTGAATACTAGCTGTAGTAGGAGTTCTCATTGGTCAGACTCCTGCTATCATACAACAGTTAGCCAATCAGAGCACCAGCTGTTGCTCTATGGGTTGCACCTCATTTAATTTGTATTTCGCTAACACAAACTTAAATTTAAAGAGCGCTATCTTTGAATTAAAGTGTTCATGAATTAGAAATGGAATAACAAACACTTTAATAATTCAAAAATACACTGTAGCTCTTCAGAATAAAGAGATTATTATTTGACAAAATTTATCTTTTATGTTCTTTATTTACTTTGAGTTTTACAATGCATCTTTTACATTCAATTTTAATGTCTGTTTAAACTGTCCCGACCACTATAACACGTCTCCTCCTTTACTCCTTACTCATCACGGTCTTGAAAACCCGTCCAGGACTGTGACATGCAGTAGCAGGAGACACTTGTGTCGGGTGTGCTGCGCAGCTCAGCCAGCGGCGTCGGCTGTTGTCCTCGGTAGACATTTCTTCCAGCTGTAAGGGGAGAGGCGATGGGTGGCTGGGCAGGCACATTTGTAGCCACCTTTCTGGTTCAAACACAGGTGGGAACAACCTCCATTCTTGCGACTGCACTCATTAATGTCTGGAGGACAGGAGAGATTTTTTTTTTTTTTTTTAATGACTTAAAAATTTGCACTTTACAAAATAGTTTAATTTTGCTACCACACTGACCCTTGCAGCGTTTGCCATCTCTCTGAAGTGTGTAACCTCTGGGGCAGATGCAGCGGTAAGAGCCTGGCAGGTTGACACACTGCCACTCACACCTTTCCTCATGGCACTCATTTATATCTGAGGACAAAACCGGGAACCTCAGTTTTTTGTTTTTTTTTAACATAAGTTGGAGAAATTTATCGATGATTTCTATGGAGAAATAAAGGAACATACATGGAATAACTTCAGCTTTTACATTTTTTTTCCTACCTACACACTCCTCCTTAAGAGCTTGTGCAGCTGAATTCTCAGGTGGTGTTGGTTGCTTCCTGTATCCAGTCGGACACTCGGCGATGCAGCTGTGTCCGTCTCCAGCTAAGATGTGCCCATACGTGCAGGAGCATCGGTAGGATCCTGGTGAGTTATGGCATTGCACCATACATGGCCCAAGCCCCTGATTACCAGCACACTCATCTATATCTATTTAAGAAAAGGAAGTTTAGGAGAAGATGACAATTTTATAGTCATATTATCGAAAGTGCAACAGCACATGAAACAAAGTAGATAAAGACATTTTTTTGCAATATAGAGGCTTTTTCTAAATGTGTAAAAATAAGTCTCATAAACTCTAATTAAAATGACCCTGAATGTTGTAATGTAGGACCTACTTTACCACTTTTGCTTTATGTTTAAATAATTTGATTTCAAAATGGGATTTTGAATGATTCACTTCAGATTCTGATCAAAGTTTTTTGGGATATAATCTACTTGGAATACAATTCTTAACATATTTCAGGTAAGTAACTGGGATTTTCAAATTTGAGTTGTGTGACATGGAGGAAACAAAGGCCAAGTGTAATAGTCAAGTCTTATGCTGAGATATTTAAATCCAAATCAAAGTGGTGGCCTGACTTATCAACATTATCATCCCTACAGCCATGCTGCTAGCATGCTGCTAGCATGGCTAAAAAGAGGAAGACATGGTTGACAGTAATATTTAGCAAGTGTTCCCCAACCTTGACAGTGGCTGGCTGCCGACTGAAGGCTGTAGCCAATGGGACACTGGCAATGGAAGCTTCCAGGAGTGTTAACACAGCCAAACACACAGCCTGTTACAGCGACAGGCAGCAAGCACTCATCCACATCTGGAAAGATTGAGAGTGATGCAGAAAAACACTTTGACATAAATGACATAAACAGACACTAATGTAGAAAGACACACAGCCGCATGCGCACACCTGGGCAGGAGGTTCGGTCGTGACCCGGCTGATAGCCCTCATCACAGCTGCACTTAAAAGAACCAAATGTGTTGATGCATCTCTGTTGACACTGGTGCTGCACCTCCACACACTCATCTAAATCTACACACATTCCAACAGACACACACCACAACAAGAACAATCTGAAATGAGCGAAAGCAATAATTATTACATACATAAATTACACATCTTGCACTGGTTTGAATGACAGAGTGAATCAGATTTAAAACACACACAAAAACACAAAGTCCAGGCTGCACTGAGATGAAAGAAAAGAGCAGTAAGATGAAAGGTGGTCCTCTTCACTGCTGCTCTGAATCAATCTGAAACCTCACTGATGTGTGTCCATGTTAGCTTGTTGTTGTTGCCTGTTATGAGCAAACCATAACACAGATGTTTTCTGACTTCCTGCTCTGCAAACACAGGAAACAAGGATGTGTAAGGAGGACGAGCTTGTGCATCAGCTCTGCCCTTGTTTTCCCGGTGCGGCCCTGTGATCTAGGAAAACACTGGTTTCTTGATATACCTTCCTTTTCTGTGTTAATGGCTCAACATATTTTCATTTTCTGACATTTCTCTACATATAGAAGACGATATGGACGAAGTCTGGTCCAGAGAAAATTACATCTTTTGAAATGAGGACCTAAATAAATGTGCACTTTCTGTCAGATGGGAATGTTTACGAGCCTTATGTCATCACAGTGGAATTTTTTTAGGCTTCAACTAAACAATAATCAGCCAAACCATGATCTCTGGACAGCGCTACCTGTCAAAGTTCACACTGATAATAACACTGTTCAAAAATAATATCAACACCGTCCACCGATGGCTCGCACAAATGATAGGTTGTCTGTGAGCAGGCGTGTGTAACTTGAGACGACAACACAACACAAGGTGATCGCACTGCCATAAATTTCACAGCTCACTTATGTTTGTCTGTGAGCCATGAAACATCAAACACATAAAACACGTGAAGGAGATTCCCTGCTGTGCTGTAACACGCCTCGGTGCAGGCTGTGATGTTATTAGGAAGAGCTCAGGGCGTCCACAGAGGATTCAGGAGGAATGTTACAGTCACAGTGAAAGCTTTGGGGAAAGAGAAACATGAAACATGAATGTGCTCACCTCGACATGTTTGCCCATCATCCAGCAGAGTGAATCCAGGTCTGCAGTGGCACTGAGTTCTGCTGTGGTTCTGGTTGGCGCTGTGGTTGAAGTGTTGGGAGTGAGAGCACAGCTGGGAACAGCCGCCGTTGTTCACTGAACATGGCGTCAACTCTGGAGAAAAACAGTAAGGATGGAGGATGGATCAGTTCAGGGGTAATTTCCAAGGCTGCCCAGACAGGCCAGACCTCCAGGGGCACCGAAACCCCAGCTTTACTCCATGTCCTTTGGGTCCACATAATTTGATTAATCAAAGTTAAAAGTTAAATATTTGCGCCACTGAAGTACAACATCATATATGTTGAGTCCTCCATCCTCAATTTTGTGCATTTTTATTTGAGACAAAATCTAGTTGTAAGTCCTTCATTGTTTTGGTTTACATTGAATGCATTTGTTGAAAAGTTGTTTTATCAAGTATTTAAGTTTAACATAACCAACCCAGGGTCGAGTTCACCATCACAGACAACGGCACCAGGGGATGTTTGACATTGTTTGCTTAAAAAGGTTACTTAGAAAATTAATTGGCAAAATTGCAAATTTGATTTGAATTGTTTGTCAATCCACTGTTCCAATTCTTAACTTCATTTTTAAGCATAAATGCCAAACATTACTTAGTTCCAGGTTTTCAAAGGTGAGGATGCTCTGCCTTTTATTTGTCTTATGTGATAATACATTGAATATCTTTGAGTTTAGGACTGTTAACTGTTAGGACTGCTCCTGGATCCACCGATAATATTAAAAAGTAGAACTAAAATAAAATTCTGGTAGAGAAACTCCCTCATATCGACAATAAACAACAGCACAATAAATTAATAAAAGATTGCTATTGATCTGAATATTGGCAAACCAATATTTTGCACGTACCCATCAGCACATCTTTCCCTTTCCTTGTCAATAAGCACAACTGCAGCATTTTCAAATGAATCGAAGGATCAATAAGTCATGAAGCAGCACGTACCCAGACAAACAGGGGTGATTCCACTCCAGGTGCCCCCCTGCTGGCAGTAGCTGTGTATGTCTCCATGAGCCAGTGTATAACCAGAGTAGCAGGCGTACTGTATGTAATGTCTGTACGCTCCGGGACCTGGATTCTCTACGTTACGAAAGTGGAAGGTCCCATGAGCGGGCACAGGTGGGTACGGGCACACAGGTCGTCCGCTGAGGGTCAGAGGTGGTGCGGAGGAGGCGTTCATCGTGAGGTTGTGGCGTTCAGTCCGGTGAGATCTTGCCTCACCGCTGGGGGAAGTGTTTGATGGAAGGGTGACATTGGGCGTTTGCGTTTTTAAACTGGACGTGGTGGTGGAGCTGGGACGTGAGGAGGTTGAGGCAGGTAAGGAGGGAAGGGGGAGTGATAATGACGCAGGGGGTGCAGATGAAGCAGGAGATGAAACAGAGGAAGAACTGATAGTAATGGAATAAACAGAAGGAGATAAAGTGTATGCTGAAGTCTCTGTGGGCTCCTCTTCATCTACAGAGCCAGGCTGAGACACAGGCGGATACTGGAGGCCGGTTTCGGCCTGTTGGTCTTCACCTGCAGTTTGTGAAGAGTCTGTTACTGCTTCAGAGTTCGTCACATAATCCTGGGATGTGACAGCTTCTCCAAATCGGATCACAGTTGGTAGAGTATGCTTGAACGCAGTATTTGTGGCAGCAGTGATAGTTGATGTATGAGCTGTTGAGAATGATGGTGGTGAAGATACTGAACGCTCTCTTCCTGACACTAATGATAAGGTAGAGGAGACAGTAGTAGTTAGATGTGATTTAAAGGTGAACGTTTCTGTAACGTTGTCCACCTTCCCTGGTTTCTCATCTGAGCCGTGCCTCCCACTTCCTGTTTCCCACCCTTGGGCTTCATTTGCCTCCTGAAGTCGAGCCTCATGATGAGCTGCTTGGACTCCGTCTTTGACTTTAATCTGAATGTGCTGCTGCAGGCGGACTTTGGGGTTAGTCACTTTCATCCTCTCACTGTTGGACATTTGTGATGGTGTATGAGACATCAAGCCAAATTTAAGGTTTGCTTCTTTGGCAGCTGTGTTAGACAGGACGTCATAGTGGGACTGTTGCTGGGTCTTCAGAACTACAGCAGCCTGAAGGTGCTGGAGTATGTTTGGCTTCAGCACACTGACGCCTGAAACCGAGCTCATCATGTCGGACTCTTAACAAGGCGAGAAAAGGAGAGATCAAATGGTTAAGAGAAACTTTCAGACATGAATAAAAAGTTAATGGATATGGGAGAATTAACACCAAGAAATAGTCCTGGGTCCCATTAACTCTAGGTAAGACAGAATATAAGCAAAGTAACTTTCTAAAATGTGAAACTATTATAGTTGTTTTTTTCATGCTCACCTTTGCATACAGGCTTTGTGCCATTCCAGCTGTGGCCCTTACAGTATAACATTGAGGGCCCAAGTAGCTGGAAGCCACTATTACAGCTGAACACTGCCCAGGAGCCATCCTCATTCATGCTGCTCGTCCCGTGGGTCAGCAGCCCCGGGCTGGAGCAGCCGGAGCCTGAAAGAGGGGAAGAATATTATGGAGAGAGATCCAAAGTTTGAGTCTGATCAGAAACCTCTGTTGCCTTTGTTGTTGTCTCTCTTTAAATCCCCATCCGGCGCCTAAATAAATCTACTGACAAAAACAGAAATAGAAATGCAAAATGAAAAATCGAAGGTTTACAGTATACTCATGAATGAAGCTCCTCACCAACACAGACTGGTGGGTCCCGGGACCAGTGTCCAGACACACAGCTGTTGGTTTTGTATCCATGGAGCTTGTAGCCTGGGTGACAGCGGAAGATCACCAGCAGTCCGCTGTAACGGAAAAACGTTCTCCCGTTTTCCAGGTGTCTAAAGCCACTGCATCCCTGGGCAACAGACACTGTAGACAAGTCTCACAGTGAGTGCCTGCGGTTGTCTGAAAACACTGCTTCTGTTAACAGCACACAGGTATGAAAATTAAGTTGAAGAAATACCTGGAGTGTAGATGCAGAGCAGAGCGAGCAGTGCTGCCAGGAGCCCCATCTGAGCTCCAGTTGGAGTGTGCGACCAGGATGACACTACAGAGCTGGGATAGCTCTCGTCAGATGTGGAGGGGAAGGAATGGGAGGAGAGTACTTTGAGAGTGAAAGTGGGGAGTGTATGAGAGGTTGAAGATTGAGGGGTGGTGGTGGTGGTGGTGGGGGGGGGGGGGGGGGGGGGGGGGGGGGGGGGGTAGACTGTGGTCTGGGATTACTACAGGAGAGGCAGATGGGAGGAGGGTGGGTTGAGACAGTATATTCACAAAACACTCTGACAGATGGATGAGGAGGTATCAGGGGAGATGCTCTTTTTTGTAGTTTTGTAGTGGTGGTTGTAGTTGTAGCAACAGTGTTACTCGTTGTATTAAATAAAGTGATTAAAATCGTGATTTCCAAATATCCAAGAGCCCTGGCAAAAAAAAAAATATTATTCTCCACACCTGTTTGTCTCTCACCCTTCACTTATAAGAGTGTGTGAGCATGTGCTGCACAGGTTAATGCCTTCAGTGAAGTCTGAACCTATTATTTACTCAGGCTGACAGGATGCCTGCGCCTGTTTAACTGCTCTCACCATTTGGTAATTATAGTGGGCAGGATGCCAGAGGAACACACATGTGGACTGAAACACACAGAGTAAAAACACACACACAAATTGCAAGTAGTCTAAAAAACAACAACAACAATAACATTTTTATTCATTTTTAGTCCAACAGTTGAACACATACCAGCTGAACCCCTGACTTCAGCAGCAGCTTTTTTTTCCAATGCTGAAGCCTTCAGTCATCAATACTTGCAATACTACAGTACTGAGATACAACCTGTGTCCACTTTCTTAGGGACACTTGTGCAACTAATTGCAACTGAATTCAACAGCTCTGTCATTTATTCCACCTTAACTAAGTTCATAATGCTGTTTTTTTTTTGTTGACATTGTCTGAAATGTGTAAGTTCAATCACATGTTCATTACTGAGGTCATAGTTAAAGGGGGTGTTATACTGGACTACAATCAATTATATTGACAGGTGTTTCTATTTTTCATTAGGCCTATGTGTTTCTATTTTACATTATATTCATTATATTATATTTCTCCTACTTACACACATAAAGGAGGCACAATATTAGAAACATCTCTGAGTACAATCCAGTCCAGTACAACACAGCCACTAACTATAACCTCACTGCTAAAACATATGACTTAATTAACACCTCTGGGACAGTGTCGGAAACGCTGAACATTATCGGCATTATTAAAGCAGACTTCGGGGCAGAACAGCTGTATTGGATTGTGCTGCATTGCACTGGTACTTCTGTTGTTCACGTGTTTCTCAGAAGTCTGCACCTGCACTAAATCAAACTGCACCTAAAATATGTGTAGCCTCAAGTCTGTTCAGATTATTATGGTTGCCCTTTTTTCTAGCATTTTTTTTTTTCACTTGGTTGACGTTTGCTTGGGTTTGTGTCCTGTGAACCTCTATGCTCAGGACTCTATCTGCTACCAACATCATCTTACTAGATGGTAACAAACTCCAGTTAATACACCAACAATTGACAAAATGTACCAATAATTGTAGGCACATCACCAACTCTCTACCACTTTTTAGTGTTCAACTGTCTAAAGGTGCTTAAGAAATACTAAATTGTGTCTTCTTATTCCTGCTTTCTTTCCTCCATTACTTTCTCTGCTGATCATGCAGGACTTCAGCTATTTAATGTTCAGGTTTTTCCCTTCACGAATACTTCTCTCCATCAATCTTTCCGTTGAGTTGCTGATCCTTGTTGTCCAGTTTGTGTACCACTCTGAAGGCCTCCAGGAACTCGGTGAAGTCTATACTGCCGTCCTTGTTGAAGTCGATACTTCGCGCCAGGTCATCGATGGCTCTGTCGTCGATGTCAACGCCCAGGTGGGCGCTGAAAAGACGCCAGGTGTGACGAAACTCCTCAGTGGAGATGAGACCTGAATGTAACACGTGCCACCCACGGACTTAATTTTGAGGAATACATTTCAAATTACTGAAACATTGTCTCCCAAGAGATACAGCTGTTATTTACCTGAATGGTCTTTGTCAATAATGTTGAATATTATCTCAATGTCTGTCCTGTATCTGAACAGAGTGTCAGCCAAGTTTGGAGTGACCTAAAAGAACAAAGAGAGAAAAGGAAAAGTAGATAGAAGTCAGACAACTGAGCCTCTTAATGTGATTATTAGCAGCAGTGAAGTACTACATTATAGTACTAAGAAGTACTGCAAGAGTACAAGTAAAAATTCTCAAAAAATGTTCAATAAAGGGAAGTATTATTATTATTATTATTATTATCCAAAGGTACTCATTCAAAAATGTAAGCAGTATTTGAATTTTCTAAATAGTCTGGATGTGACAGAGTCTGTAGAAGAAAAAAAGGGCACCAAAAAGTTTGGACTGGTAGTGACTCCGGACGCTGATCATCTAAAAGATGATCAAGAGAAATTGGAAGCACCTGGGCTAAATTTCAAGTGTCATGGCAACAGGTCTGAATACTTATGTCAGTGTGATATTTCAGTTTTCCCTTTTTAATGAATTTGCAAAAATTTCAAAAATGTAGTTTTTGCTTTATCGATAAAGGCTATTTAGTGCAGATTGATGAGGGGAAAAAAAAATATTTGATTTTAACATGAGGCTGCAACATAACAAAATGTATATAAATTGAAGGGGTCTGAATACTTTCTGAATGCATTGTTTTCATTCCCATATATTATTTCTGCATGTTTCGCTACATGCTGAATAAATAAATTCTTAAACTGAAATAAAACCAATGAATAAACTGTCATCAATATTTAAACACTCATGATGCATTTTAAGCAAGTAACTATAGTTATCAATAAATGTAGCGGAGTAAAAGGTACAATGTGCACAAGTATGAAATCTCCAACGATTAAAATACAAGGTTCTCAAAGCAGCAGTACTTGGGTAAATGTAGTTGGTTACTTTCCAGTGCTCTGCTTCTGACCTGAGGCAGAGGAATCCCCGCTTCCATATCCTCGAAGCAGGACTGATACTCCACACTGCCATCTGCTGCCAGACGGGTTAAGTGTGGACGGAGTGTCCTCCAGGGCAGGTCCAGTCTCAGCACAGACTCCAGCACCTGAGCCCATTCACTCACTGACACATTTCCTGAAAAAAGATATACTTACATATAACAACTATACGTGTCTACCTGAGTTAAATAGATGTTCATAAGAAAGGCAAATAAACCGGGTGGGTAAAGGTCACCGGTGTTATTCTGGTCGTGCTGCTGGAAGCCTGCCATCAGCTCAGTGCGATGGGAAAACAGCTTCTCTTTCAAGGCCTTGAGAGCCGAGCCTTCCGCGGCTCGTACCCTGCAAAGACAAAGTTAAACACGAGTCATTAACCAACGACTGAGCTGTCTTACATCATTTACAAACATCTATTGTCATTACTGATTAATCTGTCAGTTATTAAATCACTTTATCCATTAACAATTACGTCTATAAAATGTCACAAAATGGTGAAAAATGTCTATCACAATTATAAAAACAGACAAATACAGGAAATCCTCACAGTGAAAAGGCTGGAAAAAGATGATTAATTACCTAAACTATTAGTTTATTGCCAAAAAAGTTGTTATTTATTTGTCTTTAAATGAGCTGATCCATTAACTGACTAACTGCCTCAGTGCTACGACACCCAGCTGTGGTGAATGTGACCGGTTACACTCCAGACACCTGCCGTACCTCTGTGTCAGGGTGAGTTTGCGTGTTGTGCGGCTGACTTGGTACTGGTAGAAGCGGGGAACCAGTTCTCTGCCCACTTTGATGTAGGCACCACGGTTGCTTCCCTCCTCATAATAGTTTGATGCTGAGAAAATAGTGATCACCTGTAGAGAGCAAACAAACACGGACACATTTATTTCTCCAGACTCCAGACATTTGGAGACTTTTGGACAATTTTAAATCATTTACTGCGTTCCCATCTACCTGTCCGCCATGACAGAGCTCGTATCCCTCCTGTTTGCACTCGTGGGACCTGATGAGCAGCTGGAGTCCGTGTTGGAGCAGGAGTCTCTGGGTGACATCAGGGCCAAAGTAGCAGCCCCCTCCTCTGAATGTGTTGGGACTGCAGCCTTCTTGGGTTTTAGGGTCACTCCACAATATATCCACTATCTGCAGGAAAGAAGAAAGCTGATAAAAGACGCAGAGCACATCACAATGGGGCAGAGTTGAACAATATTCATTCCTCCACTCCTCTGACCTGTTTCCATTCTCGTTCATGTTGCGGAGGTAAAGGAGGGGGAACAGAGGACAGAGAGTCCAGGAAAGGCACTTGGAGGACATTGATATTGTAAGGCATGCTGGGAGAAGACGGGCACGGACGAGGCGAGAGGCACGATGGCGTTCGAGGAGAGCAGAGCGAAGAAGAGGATGAGGAGGATGAGGAAGAGGAAGAAGTGGAAGCTGCGCTGTCTTGCCGGCTGAGCCCGCATCGCCTCTTTCTTCAGAAAAAAAAAAAAGGGGGAAAGAATGAGGGTCTGTCATTTGAAATGTAACATCTGTAAGCATCTGTGGGCTGCTGTGCTGTCAGACCTCAGGTTGGGAGTTCTTTGGTTCTTGCTGTGGCTGCGACTGCTGCTGGGACGAGAGCTGTCCGTCGATCTCATCCTTTTTGCCTGCCTGCAGGACTGACCGAGGTCCAGCTGCTCCAAACTGCGTCTGGGAAACCTCAGGGCGGATTTCACCTGGGAGAGCGGAGGAGGGAAGACAGAAATAAAGTGAGAATAAAGGTACTTGTCTAAAAATAGGTTCAAACAGACTCGAGTCTCTGAGGATAGGGGGTAACGGACAAAATGTTATACAGATTGTAAAGGCAAATTGGTGATTTGTGATTGTGGAGCACACAAATGAAGCTGACTTGACTTAAGAAAATGTATATATATACAGCAAGGCAAGCACAACTGCTTTCTGCTTCGGCTTGTTGGTAATCCCGTCTTGGGTTAGGGTTAGGGTTACACAAGCTACTAACAGGCTGTTGAAGAAAGTCCAACATGTAGAAGACTAATAACCCATAATAATACTGATAACACATCATTTGCTCAGTAGTTGGTAGAAACCACAAATAAATGGAAAGAAGCATGCCTCCAAATGACTGCTATGGTTGGATATGAACCAGCTGTTTGCTAACGTGTGGTGGCTGTGAATCTGTGCATTTTCAAAAAGCGTTTTTCTGACATCTAGTGGCCCAAACTGATTATTGCTGTTAAAAGAGCAAGTATAGAAGTCGGGCGGAGGGTGAAGGTTGGCTGCTTCATTCCACTGACCTTGTGCCTGTCTATGGAGCTGAGGAAGTCCAGGTCAGTCTGGTCTGATATCCCTCCATGAACGATCAGGATCTTCCCGTCAATCACTGTCGCGACCGGCAGAAGGCTGAAAATGTCCTGAAACAGCTGGAGGATCTCACGGCCGTGAGTCTGTGCACAATGACACACAGTAAAAAAACAAGAAGTAGAAGAAGAAGAAGGAATTCATTTCACATTGCAGCCATTATCCACCCGGCTCTGCCAGCTGTGACAGTCTTCAAACCTGCAGAATGTGCAGCAGTAGTCTCGTACATGACTTCACTGTACCTTGTACTTCTGCATGACTTCTTTTGTGAACCCATATCTGAAACAACAACGTAACAACATCACACAGAGACACTTCTAAACCTAGACGGATAAATATTTTCTTTCACTTCAACTCCTTTTTACTATCCACCTTAGGTTCATTATGTGGTCTTCGTGGTTTCCTCGGTTCAGGTGCATGTAGTCGGGGTAAAGCAGAAGGTAGGCGAACAGGAGGATGACCACTTCGATTGACTTTTTCCCGCGGTCCACAAAGTCCCCGTTAAACACATACGGCGTCTCCGCAGAGGGAAGGCCGTTCTGAACAACAGCAACATGCAACGCAAAGTCAACACACTGTCACAAATGTAAAATCAGAGCTTAGAGACGTGGCTGTCACAAACATTTGCTCGTTTAAATCTTTTGTGTATTGACTCTAAAGAAATTTGTTGTATAGAAAAAAATATATTGATTTACCTTATAAAATATGAGCAGTAAGTCGTCAAGGCGCCCATGCAGATCACCTGTACCAAACGATGGAAAATAAAAGCAATGGAGAAGCCTGAATGAGGAATCCTCATGTGTGTGTTTCTTTTGTTGCAGCCACAAGTATTCTTGAGTTTAATTAGATGCGACTCTGCAGGAGGAGGGAGCCGCGGAAGTGGAGTCAAGTGGCTTATCAGTGTGCAAATAAACAAGGCCTCCTTTCTTGGAACGGTGCCATTAATATACAGTGAACTGTATTTAATACACATTTACAGACATCAGCGATCATTTAAGCAATAAGCAGGTCATTCATTTACTTAGCGGCTCGGTGTACTCTATGTAGCAGGTGCACACTCCTTTTCTTCCTCCTTTGCAGGTATTCTGGAAAAAAAAAAGGCAAACAATTTTAAGTTAACAAGTGAATCTGAGGCCATGGTCTCCCACCACATANGGAGGGAGCCGCGGAAGTGGAGTCAAGTGGCTTATCAGTGTGCAAATAAACAAGGCCTCCTTTCTTGGAACGGTGCCATTAATATACAGTGAACTGTATTTAATACACATTTACAGACATCAGCGATCATTTAAGCAATAAGCAGGTCATTCATTTACTTAGCGGCTCGGTGTACTCTATGTAGCAGGTGCACACTCCTTTTCTTCCTCCTTTGCAGGTATTCTGGAAAAAAAAAAAAGGCAAACAATTTTAAGTTAACAAGTGAATCTGAGGCCATGGTCACCCACCACATATAGTGATCTCTTTGGTGTAGGATGTTGACAAGTGGATGATGTTGGGCATCTGTTTCAGGAGTTTTTTGGTCTCGTACAGCAGCTGCAGAACATATCTGGCATGTAGAGCCTGTGTGGAAGAAATATAATGAGTCCCCCCGAAATAAAAAATAAAAAACAGACAATCAAAAGCGAGAGCGAGAAAGACCAAAGACACGCAGTCGGTACCTGCTGCTCCTTAAATGCACTGAGCAGGGCGTTGGTGTCAGAGATGGAGAGAGGAAACGACAGTCGGGGCCCGGTGTACGACTCTGGAACAGGGATCAGGTTGTAGCAGGTCTCTCTGTCTAACCAGGGGTCCACCACTGGGTCCAGCAGCTGGGAGATCAAGTCTGGAGGTCACAGTGTGTGGAGCTGTCAACATACTGAGCTCAACACTTCATCTCACAATGTCTTTTGAGCTTCATAAACACACATTCTTATCTTGTTCAAGGCACACTGACTAAATCTCTCTGATGGCAGATCTCACAGTAAACAGCCATCGCCCAACCCTTATAGATCAGGTAAAAGTAAAATCCCCACACTGTTTCATGCTCCCATTGTAACTTTAAATACTGCAATGTTTTGATCCATCATGGATCTTGGTCAGACATGATGAAGATCAATGAGGGGAACTCCACTGATTTCATCCATCAGAGTCTGTTTGCAGGTCTTCATGGCTCCAGGTGTGCCCAAGGTATGAATTCAATCGTTGAAATTGTATTGTGGGCAATTTAAGCATCAGGTTTTAACAGGGAAGAAGAAAGTATAGAAAAACACTTGCAGCAATCAGACTGTGTCTTTAAGTAACACTGATGCAGTCAAATCTTTAGGAAGGGAAGAAAATGAAGTGTTTACCGACCGAACTAAAACATATTCCATATACAGATTTAATTTGTAGTTCCTTGTAATAAACAGCTTGACACAACACCACGTCCGGCTCTGTGTGACCTCACTGTCGTATTAAAAGACCACTCCAATATGCTAATGAAAAACCGATGGCCTCTAATTTATGCACACAAATAAAGACATGAACAGAAATCTACCTACAGGCCTATTTCTATTTAGTAAGTCTTTTGTCAATTTCCACCCTTAGTGTCTATTAACTGGCTTCTCTTCTGTCTCTCACACACGCAAACACACACGGCTGCTGTATATAATAAACAGAGACAACAGAGTCTGGGCTCTTTGCATCACTGACTCGATGTAAAACTGATGCGCTGTGGATGCTGCAATAAGAGCTGACCTAAGGATTAGCTTGTCAATGGAGCATTGTGCTTTTTAGCTGGATGAGTGGGTCAATACACACTTAAGCCACAGCTGTGTGAGTGCAACACACCAACCATCACTAGCCTCCACATTCACAGCAGTTGCTAAGCAACAGGGTATATGCAATGGGTTTTCTAATCTAGACCAAAACACAGTGGCATGAATAACACTGGTGATAATTTGATGGAAGGAAAAAAATGTATATCTATATAAAAACACCTTTCTGTGTTGGAATATGTTCAAAACAACAACCATTAAACACCAACTAATGACTGGTTGAAATTACTGTATTTTCAAAGTTTAATCTGCCACTATTTATATTTACCTAACAATCTCTTGAAAACTCCATTCTTTACTTGTTCAGTTTAACATTATAGCGCACTAACCTCAAATAAAGCAAAACAATTATGTATACAGCTAAAAAAAATACAGAATATCATCATAAAATTTAGTTTCAGTATGACTGAAACACACAGAGCCCTGACAGTGCTATTATGAGTGAGTGCTTTACACTTTCAGAGCAAAATAACAAAGTAAAATGAAGTTCATGTATTTAGAGAAAACATGTGACATGACATCCAAATGGCAGCACTGTTAAAGTAAAAGAATATTTTCTAAAATAAAATCAATTTTACTCAGAGTTTTCAATTCACATGCTACAAACTAATCTACGTTTCCTGTAGATAAAAAGATTTTTGGCTCCTGACCTGGTCCATTTCCGTTCAGCTGAGTGAAGTTGTCCAGCATGAAACTAAAGAAACTGGAGAGCTGAAGACAGGAAAATAAAGTATTTAAACATACACGAAAATCAACATAAATGTGTATTTCAGTTTATAAGCAGGGTGGGTGTGTGTGTGTGTGTGTGTGTGTGTGTGGGTGCCTGCGCTGACAGTCACCTGTAGCTGATCCTGTTCTCCGGCGTATTCAATCGACTGAAAGATGTTCCAGGTGTACCTGCGTCTCATCTCAAGACGGGCCACATAGCGCCGGTACCATCGCTGGATCAGAACGGCTGCCTTCATAGCTACAACAACAAAAAAATCACCTGTTACATTTTATTCAGCTGAGAGACGTGTTTGAGTCACATACTGTACATAGAGTGCATGTATATGACATGTGAGAGTCCAGCATTACTAACTGTATCTTTTCACTATCGGGTGAACATGTAAAACTGTAGTCTGCACAGAGACGCATGCACACTGGGACTCGTATGTCGCAGACTGATCTTGAGAGATGAGCAGGGTCCTTACTCAGAGCCGGGGTAGGAGTCTTGACTGTTCCATCTGTGAGAGGAAGACAAAACTACAATTCAGACCAAGACTCATAATTGAATAAAATCATGTGCAAGGCAACACACAGACACACACAGTAAGAGAGATAACAAGACACAGGGGAGGTCACGAGCAACAGCGGGACTGGAAAAACAAAGCAAATTAAAAGAGCCTTCAGGAGAAACCGCACCAATTAAATAGAGGAGAGGAGACAGACTGCAAAGAAAGAAAAAGCACCATCTGTCAAACATCTGCTGTCTGTGTATGTGTGTCTGTGTGTGTGTGTGTGTGTGTGTGCATGTGTGTGTGTGTGTAACAAGTCTGAGGAAAATGTACAACTGCAAAAAATATTATTATTATCACATTCCTACGACACAAAGTGATACTGAGATGTGTGAAATAGAAAATCACAATGCTGCCACGACTAAAGCTAATAATACACTGTTTTAAGGAGCACTTCCTAAATTATGTTGCAAATTGCTTCACCGAGGAGATCAACAAAATAAAAGGGAGAGGAACACCAATACTTCAGCAATAAAAACATAGAAACAAACAAGAGGAATTATGTTATCTTTAGTATTTAACAGGGCTCAAGTAATAATTATTACTTGAGTTCACAATTTCAGAGGGTCCAAGAAAATGTCTTCAGATGTGCAGATATTTACATGTGAGAAGCTGCAAACAGAGAATATGTGACATGTTTGCTTGCCCTGTGTGTATTTTCTTGTTGACTTTTGTGTTTTGTGCTTTAAGGTATGTATATATTGTTGAGTTATGTGGCATTGGCTCATGCTACTTGTCCATATATACATAAACATTAAAGAAATAATGAATGGAATGATTAATCAGTTATCAAGATAGTTGCTGAATTTGTCTATTATTATCTTGTTTCAGTTCTAGTTTTCAATCTGGACTGAGGAGAGGACAGTTGATATTTGAGGATCTATACTGTGATTTCAGTGTGTGTAGGTTTTAAATGTGATTTGTGAAAGCAACTGAAACTCTGTGTAAGGAGGCAGAAATAAGAGCTGCTCTGTGTTCTCTTTTATTAGGTTTTTCTCAAATCCCCATTACCCACACTTATGTCTGAGCTTGCTCTCCAATTAGTATATAACACCTAAGGCCCCATTTGTGCTGAGCTTATCTGTCTACACACCAGGTGTATGAACATGCCAGCTCAAATTTGATGCCACTGTGTTTTTTAACACCTCTCCCAACAGGTTAAAATGTCAAAACCTCTCAGCTGACAGGACAAAGAAAACATGAGTCAGTCTTGGATGGAGCATGATTGGAGAAACAACAGCGGCTACCTGCCTTTTGAGCCAGCAACACTTTGTGCGCTCCACTGCAAACCAGCCACACCTGTTTCCACTCTTTTCCCTTGCGTTTCCGTGGCGACAGAGGTGCCACATCCCATGATGATCGGCAGAGAGGTCCCAGGTTCACAAACAGGTAGCAGTGGGTCACATCTGGCTGGTGGCATGTGAGGATGGCACAGGGACCTGATAGAGTAAGAGCACGGCTGTCGTCATGCTGCATCAACCAGTGAGTGTGTTTCACTCTCTGCTTCAGGGTTCACTTCAGCCAGTCTCACATCACATCACAGCAGCAGCTGGTTCACCACCTCTCTCAGCTGCAGTCACAGCACATGTCAGTTTGCTGTAGGTGTCAGGGTAGATTCATAGATGAACATGGTTGTAATCAAACTGTGTAATACAGATATAAAATCAAATTATGTGGCATGTATGATAAAGATGTGTTCTTGACCTAAATTATCCAGTTTATCTTCCAATTTATTAAAACCCTTAATGATTGCCAGCAGTGTGCATCACAACTAGGCTTCAAAATACTATACTAATCTCAAACATATGCCACAATAACAGGAATTAAATTAATGACTGCTAATGCTTCAATCTCAAACAGCCCCTGCCTTTGACAGATAAAGGGAAATGAAAAAAAAAAAATCACGCCAGCGGGTAAATGTTGCTTATTGTGCATCATTTTCCTACAGGAACATATATAATCCAGACGTGCTTGTTTTGCGCATCCGGGGCAAGAAAAAAAAAATCACCAGTTTGTTTTTGATGGTTCCTACCTGCAGCTTGAATCCGCGCGATCCGGAAAACATGAATGGGACACTGTAATCCATGTGATGCACGAAAAATAACTTTAAAAAAAAAAAAACTCGCAGATAAAAGGTTACGCTACATATCCTCTAAATGACTGCTAAGAGAAAAGGTTTGAGTGTAAAAGGTGATACAGAGACGCATGGACGCTGCAGGGGGAGAGCTTCAAGCGCGCGGAGGAGGCGGAGGTGTCGTCACCACATCACATGTGGAGGAGCCGCTGTTCCGCATATTCCCCAGGTAACTGCCACCACGACTCACTTCAACAAGTTTCCAACTCAGTCAATTTGTGCGTTTTGTAGCTTCTGTGCCACATGTATCGTTAATTTGACCTTTACGCCTCAGAAGGAGGAGGTCAGTGACGCTGTTATGGGAGAACCGGTGGCCAGGAAAGTGGGTTAGGTTTAATTCAAAAGTTGTTTCTGGCGCCTTTTAATGGCTGTTGGAGGGTTATTCAGACCCAAACCCACTCCTCATAGTGGAATTGGGTCCACATGTGTGGCTAAAGTAATTAAATAGTCTAAGTAGTAATTTTTTTAATGAACAGTTGTTCAAGAACCGGTCACATCAAACTGGAAATTGGGATTTGAGAGCGACAGACTTGCCGTCATTTGAGGAAGCAGTAGCTAGGTCTCATATCAAACCCTACTTTATTTTGTAGGTGTTGAATTCCAACTTCGAAATGCAGACCAGACGTAACTGGATTTGACCAGGTAGTGAAAGTTCAGTCTACCTCAAATTTTTAAACTTTGTCTAAAGACTTCAAGTAATAAGGTGTGTCCTATTGGAGCCAAAAACCAGTAAAATGACCTCAGCATTTTAAAAATGCACCATATCTGAGAAATGCAACCAGAGAAGCATGTACATAATCTTCCATAAATCATTAACTGGGTAAGTAATATTTTACTTCCTGACTTGGCATCACCATGCAAAACTTTTGAATAAAAAAGGCAACAGATTAAAAGAAGCTCTTTTTAATATTAGATAATAAAATAGTAAAATTTAGTTTAGATCAAGTCCAACTCTTCATGCAGCAGCCCTTGTGCAGATCTTGTGTTGTATAAGTGTGACAGCAGCGTTGATCTCCTGCAGAGTGATGACTTTCACCCTGTTTGTTTTTGACAGCCGGGAAGCCTCCGAGCTCAGCAGTCTGAGCAGGACTGGTCTGGGAAAACCGAGCCGACTGGCCAGGAAGTCTGGACTCCTCATCCCTGCAGCCGGACCGACCTGCAGAAGAGATGAAAAATCACAGGTGGTTTTTGAGTATCACTTAGGAGCAGAGGACTCTTTTCATGGTCTTAATCCAAAAGCATTGTAACCTGCACTAAAGATTTTTGATCTACTGTAGTGTTAAAGATCTTCCTATGAAAAACCATGAATCTTTTGTTAATTTCTAAAGACCATACATCCACATAAGTTACTGCTTTTGCTGTTCTGACCTCTTTATGAGCTCTGTAGATGCGAGTGGAGTAGCCTCGACTTCTCTTCTTGGTTTGTGCAGGAATCCTTCGTGTTGCTTGGACAGAAGCCTTCATTTTGCTGTCACTTTTGTCTCAAACACACACACACAGAAAAAAAAGAATTTAAATTTACAGCAGCTTTTTTTTCACATATATATACATGAGGCCACTAGTAATGAGAGCAGGGAGGCAAGAGTGTGCGAGGAGTAAGACGAATGTTTTAATGAACGCAAATTGAAAACGGCTTTGCTCAATCAGGCTTAATTACACCTGCCTTTAAAACCCTCTGTGTGAGGTCACACGCCTTCAGCCTGAGCATCTACAGTCCAGAGAAAAGCCATGATCAAATACAAACAGTCACTTACCCATTTTGATCCATGTTTTCCATGATCTACTTCAAAATGCAGAAAACTATTTAAAAAATATAAAAACACATGTTTTTTTTAAATCCCACTTAACCACTTAAATCATTTATAGTCTTATAAGAACAGATAGATTCCAGTATGTTTATATGAGAATTTCACCTCCATGATGTCTGGAAATGTAATATTAATTTGTTATACTATGTCTTTTTTAAATCTTTTCTAGGATGTAAAAAATATCAAGAGGTAATTCACTAAATGTTCTATCTACAAGTGAAGCAGGTTTTGGTGATTGAAAGGTGTTGTTTATCTTTTGTTAATACATTTTGATCTTATCCATGAGATAATAGAAGATATTAATCATGGCTGCATTTTGCAAAGAGAGTGGAAGTGAATTATTTTCTTGTCGTCACTGGAGAGAGAAATTCATAGAGGTTTATTATTTTTTAAAGATTTTTTTGGCACTTTTCTCTCATTTTACAGTAAATTCAGAAAATCTCTGTGAGAATTTATAGATTACTTTTTGTAGATTCAAGTGTAGAGGGGATGTTGAATTGCAAGCAGATTTTATACTGGTGTACACTTGTATTGAATACTTTAATGGTGTCTAATGTTCATGTGACAATCATCAAATAATTCTGGTGTAAGCAAAAAATATTGAATGACTCAATTAAATATGCAGTTATGCCAACTAACTGCATGACAACCTTTACATATTTTTTGCATATTTAAACTTGAACATGTTACAACAGATATGCATCTATCATGTAATTTGTTTTATTTTTATTACAATATTAGATTTTTTTTTTAACATGACAATATAATTGGCAAAACCTTGACCTTCTGGTCAATCATATGGATCACAAGGCCCAGCATAAGCCATCACCACCCTCTGACCAATCTTCTCTCTCACTGACTCTGTTACACACACGCAAACACACACACACAGGCACACACACACCACAGACACACACACACCACACACACACACGATCACTGACCACACTGGCCTTATGTGTTTGTTTTTTCCGCAGGATTGTTTTTAACTTGACCCCTGTTCGTGTGCAGTGATTCCCAGAATGTGTGCTGGTGTTGATGGTGGTGGGTGAACAGCTGCAGGAGGGGCTTTGTCAGATAAGGATGGCATTAGGTAAGGCCATTAGTGTCCTGTGGATTATTGTAATCCAGCCTCTCTATCACTTCTAGCTTGGCTGCTCAGTCTGCGGTCGGTCTCGTCTGGTTTGAAGCAGGTTGGAAGATGGCTCTCAACATGCAGCGTTTCCTGCTGACCCTGCTTCTTCTTGGGGCTCACGGTACGATTACAGTCTTAATAGTCTGGTCCTTGTGCTGCTGTTGAGTTATGAACCTGTAATCTATGTTTGTAGATATTTGCCTCAGATTTAGTATGTGGTAAATTCAGAAAACCTCTGAAACTCTAAAAAAAAAAAAAAAAAATCTCAAATGTCGAACAAGTTCCTCGCTTGTTTCTTTCAGGATCATCCATGTTTTTGTTTGGTGACATTATACTCGATTCTCTATGTCTGTGTTGTGTTCATTTAAACTGTTTTTGTTTTAATGTAGTTACACTGACAGATTGAGGCACAGACTTTGTTTGCTAGAATAAGCGACTCGTCTTTCTTTTCCCTCTTCTGCGCTTCACCGGCTGCCTGGACCTTGTTTTATTTTCTGTTCATCTGCTTGGACAGTGTTCGTCAGCATTTATGCTCAAGAGGTACGAAGAAGCCTCAACAACACAGCACAACTGTCAGAGATGATTTCACTCTTAAATCAATACAATTTGCATAAAATGTAGTTGAAACCGTTTTAGATCAGCCACAACAGAGCCATGTTCAGATTAGAGTTTGTTCAGCTGTTGTTTGTCAATGTCAAATGAATTTCATTCAATAAAACCCTGGAATTAGAACCTGGATTAAACAGTTCAATCTAAATATATAGCAATATTTATGTATTTATATACTTTTCGTATTTCTGACAATGTTATGTTAGAAGGCATCTATTGAATGTTGTCCGTGTGTGTGTTTGAGACGGGTGTGTCCGAGGCATGGACCAGCAGGTCTTGCAAATGTGACTGTGAAGGAGGAGAATCCCCGACTGAGTTTTCCTCCATTGCGTCCGGCTCTTCCATGGTGCGAGGAGTGGACTGCATGCCAGGTAATGACCATTAAATACAGTTCTCTCTCTGAAAAACACACACACACAAAAGGTGTTTTTTTTGTGCCAGTAAAATGAATGATTTTCATTTAGTGCACTTAAATCTCAAACTGATTTTTTTGTTTTGGTTTTCCTTTAGTGTAAGAAATGACACTTTACCACACACTGAGCAGGGATTTCCACTCTGTGACCCACTAATTAAGTGACTTTTGATGAGTGCATGATCAAATTGTACCATTGAACTAATAATAGTACTTACAACGAGGAGTAAATTGTGACGGGAGGGTTAGACTCAGATCATGAACATGCAAAGCTGTTATTATTCTTTAATGGATTTATTTTGGTTTATGAAAAGTCAAATTATTATAATATGAGACACTTGAGAGGCTGAACCACCAATTTTTTGGGCATTTTCCTTGACAAATGATTTAAACAAATAGTTAAGTTTAGCCAATAAAATTGCTGTCGGTTGACTAATTGACAAATCAACAAATCTTATAAGCTCTACCATGCAAATGGATGGACAGTTTGTGTGTGTGTGTGTGTGTGATAGAGACAGAGAGAGGGGGGATCTGTATATGTACATGTACACGCATGAGTGCATTAGACTCCAGATTTGACACCACAGGGAAGACATGCTCCACTGGACATCCTCGGGGAAGGTGATGCAGATGGAGAGAAATACCTCCGCCAAGGCAGCACAATCCTCTAAATTCACTCTTTCAATAACAGAAAGTGTGGTTTGCGTCTGGATCTTCATCTCTGTCAAAACACATAAAATATAGACAGATATGGACAATCATGGGATACATGTGCTGAAGGTCATATTCAGGAAAACTCAGAGATGCTCTGTCTCACATGTTAACCCTGTACATGGATCCAGATGCAAACCAAAAACGACTCACTTGGAGTAGTTGAAAGTGAAAGTTAGTTCTTGATCTCAGAAACAGCCCTTGACAAAATAATCTCACCACAGCTTCCACTGGTGAGCCTGAGATATAAAGATCACACTTGAATTATGTCAGACTTGAGGAGAGGAAGGTGGCAGAGCTGGAAGGTGCAGTGGAGGGGTTTTCCTCTGTGAATCAATGTGTGTGTCAACTGAGCCACAAATCACATGGCAACGGGAGACGGAGAGGAGAAAGAAGTTCAGTAGATAATCATTATCTCAGAACGGGATGCTCAGATTACGGGGCTCGTAATAGACTGCACCAATCGCACAATCACAGAAACCGGTAATTATCCACCACATGGACCTGGTGATGAGAGATGATGAGTGAGAAAGACTCTCTCCTGTGCTGCATCAGACTTTATATCTCCTCAGTTCTTCGTGTGTCTCCCCTCTTGGTTTTCTCATGAATCCAGCAAACTCATTGTGTTTTATTTTAGTTGGGAAATACATTAGGGAGGACTTCAGAGTTGCTCTCGTTACTGTTATGTTATGTAAACACTTATCTGCTGACTGACTCACACAGACGCTGCTGCTGCTGTTGTGTGCGTTGTAATACTGGGATTAGACAGGATGTGACCCTGTGCCAGATAGGCTTAAGCCAGTAGTAAACAAAAGCGCAGCAGGCTACTTCGACTACAGTTTCACAGCTGATGCTTTTTTCTGAAACTTTAGGGGGAAAAAAAAACTCTCATGTGCAGCTCGCTCATCTCTCCCATTCATAAATTTCTAAATTTGCTAAGTCAACAAAGGACTCTCATTTGTTTGAATGTTAGTGAGAGGGCAGGTTGACAGATCAAAACATGAGAGCAACACGGTGCTAAAGCTGTGGAGAGTAGAACATGACCATCTGTTTGCCTGCCGCCCTAATGGACATCACTGATCTCTCGCTGTGGAGAATTAAACTGCAGGCTTTTAGTACGGGGATATGGATCACACCGGGGCTGCAAACAGCGGGGGCTTTGGGAGCAGGAGGGTGTGAGGATGGGAGTTGGCAGGGGTGAGGATGAAGAGAGAGGAAAGCATAGAGATAGACAGAGAATTAAGAATCCAGAGAGGCTTAGTGATGATCATTTGCTGGTCACGTTTCAGTGTTTTACCGCTTTAGCTGCAAGCAGATGTGTTTGTGTTCTCCTCCATCGGGGTGGTGACCTTGAAATCCTTGTAGCCAGAAAAATGATATTAACTAAAATAACAAAAGTGATTTAAATGAATGCATCTGTTATAAATTTGTCTCTGGTCCTCCTGCAGAGTGTCCATACCACAAGCCTCTAGGCTTTGAGGCTGGATCGGTGAATCCAGACCAGATCACCTGCTCCAACCAGGACCAATACACCGGTTGGTTTTCCTCATGGCTCCCAAGCAGGGCCCGTCTGAACACCCAGGGCTTTGGGTAGGTCCGGGCCAACATGCAGACTTTTCTTTACATTCACAGACAGTGATTTTTTTTTTCTAAACATATCTGCAGTTTTATCAACGTGTATCTTTAATCTCTGATAGTGAGGTTGTTGAAACCTATTTGTTTTCATTTGTAACTCACAGAATGTTGCTTTTAACAGAGATGGTTGTTCTCTCTCAGGGAAAGACCCTAATGAAAAAACATCTTGGCACTTACCATCTGTCAGGAACGGTATTAGAAAAAAAAGTTGCTCAAAGAAAATTTCTCATTACATAAGGTGCATTTGGTGAGGTTGACCTGCCAATATGCTCTGGCTTAAAACATTAAAATATAAATAGGACAGGCAAAATAGAAATGCTAAATGAGTAGTGAGGAGCTCTCAGTATTGAAAGTTTTTTTCCTCTAATATTATATGACCACCAATCGACTGATGTGCAGCAATCAGTGGGGGAATTGAATGTAAAAGCTAGATGTATTTATTTGTATGTGTGTGATATATTAATGGTAAGAATTAAATGCATAAATAAATTATAAAGTGAATACAAAACAATGTGTGCTAAAATGTATCCTTAGCACTGAATATCAAAAACTGTTGAATACCCCAAATGAGTATAAATTTAGCTGCTTCAGTGTCAGGGTCCCGGTATTGTACATGCTGGCTCACTGTCACACTGCCATGGGACAATGGTAATGTAATTAGTTACATATGTGCTTTTCATAATATGACAAGTTAAAACGTGTGCTGTGAAAAAGGGCCTACACTAGCTGTAGTTATGGGTCTTCTTTCTTTGGCTCTAATTTGTACATCTACAGTCAGACAATAGCAGCTTGCATGTGTGTCACACTGCAGTCAGTATTACAGTCAGTATGTGTGTGTTTGTCCACCAGCTGTGCCTGGCTGTCCAAGTTCCAGGACAGCAGTCAGTGGCTGCAGATCGACCTGAGGGAGGTGATGGTGGTGTCAGGGATCCTCACTCAGGGCCGCTGTGACGCTGACGAGTGGATCACCAAGTACAGCGTTCAGTACCGCACGGACGAAAATCTCAACTGGATCTATTACAAAGACCAGACCGGAAACAACAGGGTCAGTTGAAATCAGACACCACTGGTATCACTGGTATCACACCTTAGAGGGAAGATATGACACTGATTGTCCTGATAGAAATGCCATAACAAAACTTGATGAAATCTGTAATAATTTTGTTAATGACTGGCCTAATTCTGCAGACATAAAAAAAAACATGTCTACATTTGTAGATAGAAATGTAATTTTAATGTCATTATAATTGATTTTTATTTAGATTTTAAACACGCACTGTATTTCTTTCTGATTTGTGATGTTTGACCAATGCACTCTTGTACGGTAAAATCATGTGTTATCAAAGTTATAGTGCTGGAACAATTAGTGGATTAATCGATCAGTTGATTGAAGAAGAATAATAAACCATTTAATCATTTTATTTAATGCCAAACATTTGCTGGTTCCAACCTTTTAAAAGTGAGAATTTGCCAGGTTTTTTTTTTTTTCATTGTGAATTGAATTTTTTCCTAGTTTTGGACTGTTGGTGATTTGAAGACATCACCATGACCTTTTGCAAAAAGGTCGTCATCATCATCACTACTATTATTAACTGTAGTTATAGTAGCTTTAATGTGACAAGAGTATATTCGGACAGTATTGAGTCAGTCAGTCTAACATAAACAACATGCTGACCTTGTATTTCTCTCTGTCCTCAGGTGTTTTACGGAAACTCTGACCGCTCCTCATCTGTACAGAACCTTTTGCGACCACCCATTGTGGCTCGCTACATCCGCATCCTTCCCCTTGGATGGCACACACGCATTGCTCTGCGCCTGGAGCTTCTGCTCTGCATGAACAAATGCATCTGAACCTCTCCTCCCACTGTCCCCGAGGCCTTGTCCCAAAACCTCATCTGTACCTAAAGCCCCATCGTCAAAGAGTGTGCTCTGATATTACATCCACAGATTTGGCCCCCTCCAGTTATCCATACAAAACCACAATTTGAGACAAAAATGTTCTGTTTAAACCTTTTTTTTTTTTTTAAATACAAACAAAACAGTCTGACTTGTGATTTCATTAAAATATGTGTTTGATATGCTCAATGAGCTTTCATTCACTCCACTCACCATTGTCTGTTTTAAACCAGTCTCACACTGGGGGCTTTAATTTGGTGAGTTCTTAAATAGATTGTTCCATTTGCAATGAAATGGCATAAATTCAAAGCAATAATTAGGCATGGAGAGGGAGAGGCAGCGTTGCTATGGAGGTTGTATCCACAGGTCTGAGGCAAGCTCTTCCAAAACATTTGTGTCCTTTCTATGTCAGGTCAATGAATTTGTGTCTGCCTCTCCTGATATGTAATGGTAAACAGGGAATTTACAGCTTAGGACATCTCAGTCAGTCAGTCTCTCTTCTGTATTTTCCTGGAAGGGTAAGGCTGGTGATATCCTATATTTTTCTACCTGTCAGCTGATCAAACAAAAATACCAAAACCACCAATGAGCTGATCCTAAGAAAAAATATTATTTGTGTGGCCAAGGCATGACAGCTTATTCCTTAACTTTATTATGACTTGAGACTTGAAACTCTTTAGAACTTGAGACTTTTTAGGGCCACATCAGTATTTTGACAATTATTACAGTTTTCACAAAATTGCAGTTTACATTTTGTGACAGTTTCAGATTTTATAATGGGTATGTATTGCATGGAATGTTCAGAGCTAGAGTGGATGACATCAAACTGCCATCCCTAAAAAATCTTCCTCAAAAGAAAATCTGAAAAACTGTTTTAAATCCCACAATTTCCATGTACGTGTTGTTGTGTGGTTCTTTGCATGTGTGTACATGTCTTTCTAGGATTGTGAGGACAATTTTGGTTAAGAACCATTATTGTGAGGTCATTTTGGCCAGTTCTGAAAACTTCAAAGGGCTTTTTGAAGGTTAAGCTTAGGCAGTTTCTAACACCACGCACACACATACATTGACGGACACACAAACACCATCTCCACCATATAGATATTAACTGTAGTGTCTTCACCTGGTAACACAAGCTTTTTGGAGGATCTATGTTAGACAGCTCTACTGCCACACACGACAATACACACACGCACATTGACAGACACAAACAAGTGCACAAGAGCAGTTGCTGCCCAAACTTTCATACAACTGACTGTGATTGGCTTATTAGACTGATTAACTCAGGGCATTTTTTACTGTTGTCTATGTTGTTCTGTTCTAGCAGGAGAAATCACAGTAGCTTTATTGCAGATGAACTTCTGTTAGGGCATGTACATGTGTGTGTATACGTGTCTTGCTATGGTTGTGGGGACAAATTTACATTCGAAACCATCATTGTGAGGTCACTTTGGCCAGTCCTCACAGTTTCAAAGAGCTTTTTGAGGGATACCTGCAGTGACTGAGGTCAGAGTTAGGATAATTCTTTACAACATGAATGAAACTCAAAGTAACATCCTGAGATTGAAACGTGTATGATGGATACGCACCAAGCAGCAGGCACATTCAAAATTTCTTCAGGAGTTTTCTTGTACTTTAAATGTTATCGTCTACTGGTGCAATCCTCTGTAATTGTGTCATCAGTTCTGCTCCTTCTTGTTCAAACTTTCTGCATGATATAAAAATATGTTCAACTGAGCCCAGTCACCTGGATTTTAGAGTGTGGTAACTACGTGTCTGTATGCTAATCTGGCTTCGGGGACTCCCTGATGGGACTGGTCGGATCAGAGAGGAGGAACCTCCAACTCCAATGCTGGCTTCCCATATTGGTGAGGCAATGATCCTGCCAGTCCACACCACAACTGCAGCCATTCTAGCATTCAGAAGAAGAGCATTTAAGAGCCCGGGCCACACAACATTCGTGGCAGCTCACACTAGGCAGCTCTCCTCTGTACCTCCTTTGTGAACATTTGTGTGTAATTTGTGATTTGGTTTGAGATACTGGTAGTGATTGTTGGGGACTGGGCTAGGTTTAAAATTCTGATTGTACATCACACCCTTAGAAAAAGACTGTAGATACATTAGGAACAGGGGTGCTGCCTTGCTTGTCTTTTTGGTTGGTTAAGATAGTATAGTTAGGCTCTTTTGGTTCATCTTTCTTTTAAGGTTAGAAATTGAGTTTTGCAACTCTCCTAAGGTAGAGTCCTCTTTTCGTTATATTTTGTTTTTGATTTAAACAGCACCCATTTTTGCCCTGTTCCCCTACTTTAGCTGTCCTTTCCCCTTGTTTGTTTCTTTGTTTACTCATTTACCCTCCTGGTTATGCAATAAATTTGATTTACCAATAACACCTGGTTATATGTTGCTTCACTTTCCCCTAACTACAATCTGGGTCATAATATAAACACTGCCCATATACGGGGACTGGGAGGACGCACCATGACTGTCTTATATAAGGACGCCAAAAACAATTATGACTGCAATGAATTGAAACCTGGCTCTGTTAACAGTCCACAGTCAGTAAATGAAATACTCAGTGAGTAAAATTTCCCCAGGCTGTTATATCTTCTTTGATTGAAGAAATCAACTGCCCAGTACTGGACGTTAGTCCCATAGCATCAGAGGTTTTGACTTTACTTTCTCAGCAAAGTGGTGCCAAAAAGGGTTTATATCTTGACGCTTCATGTGAACAGTGCGACATCTACTGCCCAGAATATAAAATGGGCAAATACAAACGTTTGTACATCACAGATTGAATGCAAGTATAAGGTAAATTATGGTTATATTTTATATTCTAAGCATAGATGTATAGTAATTATTGTAAAAGCAAATCAAAATGTTTTGTAGCATCAAATGTGTCAATATCAGTCAAGTTAGGCTTTGGTGGTTGTTCTGTAAAGGTGCAATGTGTAAGATCTGGCCTGAACTTTAGTTTAAAATGGTCAAAAAAGGAATTAACGCTATCAACAGTGTGCGAAGGAGCCACAGTGATGATTTCATGATCAAGACCTCCATCTATTGTATTTCAGCGTTATCGACTTAAATCAGCTAGCCCCGACCTGTCCTGAGTTGTAATACCACTTTGTGACACTAGATGCTGCGTGACTCAGTGGAGCGTCTAGTCTGGTCTGCCCTCAGTCCCACGAAGAAGAAGAACTTCCTGCAGATCTTGAAGTTAGCTACAGCTCCGGACTAGCACCACAGAAACACAGAAATGGCTGAAGCTCCTTGTAAACGATCTCCATCCCGAAGGACCACTCCCGACAAGAAACCACGAGTAAATCCTGGTTTGGCTTCCCACTGCTGGAGACTTGAGAGGAAAGAGATGCAGTTTGATGCAGAGCTCGCAACTTTTACACCGGTGAGTAACATCTAATGTTAGCTCTTTAACGAAAAGTATCGTTAGTACAACGACTGACGAGCCTTTCGACAAACATTTCAAGTGGCATAAATGTGTGAAATTGATGCTGTCGACAGACGTTTTAGCAGTTACTGGAATTACGCCTGTTCCTGTTGGTTGTTGTGCAGCTAGTTATGTCAGTAACTTTAGGCTCATTTTGTAACTGATGACTGTAAATTGAGATTGTATGGATCCAGTAGACCGAGTGAATACACAATTTCCAACCTTCATTGATGTTTTTATATTGAAAATGTAGAGATTTATGTCCTGTATCACCCAGTTTTGGTCTCATTCTGATATCTTTTACAGTTTTTGAGGAAATCCCCCGTAAGTGCCAAGAGGGCTGTCAAAGCTCCCATAGACACCCATATTAAATTGAGCTCTGAAGCTCTTGCCCTCAACAGAGCTGAGGGGAGTTTCTAAACTGTGATAAAACTTCAACCGTAAACTGTAGGTACATATAAAAGATGCCAGTGTCTTTATTGAAGTCTTGGGACGGCAGTGGTAAAGTGATCTTTTCAATAGGGCAGTTTTCCTTCTATGATCCAATTTTCAAGCAGAAGTTTCATCTTTAAAGCTGGGGAGAGGGGATTGTGTGTGTGTGTTTCCCTACTCGACTTGGTGGCCACAGTCACCATAGCAACCAGTGTCTCAGCAGGTGCTACTGACAGTTACTGGGCAGAAATGGACAAAGCTGATCCTGATTGGCTAATTGCACTTATTAATTCTTAGCCTGTTAACTCAGGTATGAGAGCAACTTTAAGGTATATCACTGTGGTGTATTTGCGTGTATTTGCGTGTACTTGTGTGTACGTGTTGTTGTGTGGTTCTTTTTTGTGTGTGTGCATGTCTTTCTAGGATTGTGTGGACAAATTTGGTTAAAAACCATTATTGTGAGGTTATTTTGGCCGGTCCTGACAACTTCAAAGGGCTTTTTGAAGGTTAAGGTTAATTGACTGTGATTGGCTTATACATATACACAGTCCTACTGCTTTAAATACTCAAAAGCTCAATGTGTATCAAATTTGTATTAATCCACAGCTGAAAATGGTTCCCTGAAATAGTAATGTTTGCTAAAAACTACAGTCCTCAGCGGTTAAGATAATTACCTATTTTTTTTATATAAAAATATGTAATTTTGACCCTCTGCTTTCAAAAGAAAGTTTTTTTTCAGTATGAACAAATGGCCTTAGGAGAGTATTGAGAAAAGGACTAACACGTCATTTATTTTAGTCTTTTTATGGGAGTTGTTGACAATAAGAAAAAATCTAGAATAAAGCCAGACTTGTTCTTTAAATATGCCTGATGTCACTTCCTGTTTTCTCTTTTTGTTTGTAAACACTCATAATTTTTTACCTAAGGCACTTTTTAAAAAAACTATCACGGAATGAAAAATTAACTAATATTCAGATGTGGTTTTGTATTCAGGTTAACGCCTGAATTTTTTGCTATCATTTTAATTCAATTTCCCATGGTGCTTTGGGAATACATTTCCTTGATTAAATTAATACTTGTCTCACATCTATGTCCATGTTTGTGTCTGTGTGTACTACAAAACAAACATATGAGCCGTTCAAAAATGTACAGTTGGCTTTTATTATGAGACCCTATCATTTTTAAAGTAGAATGGTCAGTATAGATACACTCTATTATTTCTATTTACACCCTGTAAGAAGTGGGAAACGGCTAAAATGAAAAAAGAACTGATGTTTTACGAAACACATTCATATTTGTGAACAAAAATTCGTATTTTTCTCGTCTCAGTTCTCAGTGTATGTGACTTGCTGGGGGTTGAAGCCTCAATTTCCATTTGGAGTGAGTAAGCTAATGTAAGGCTTCAGGTCACTGGCAAGGCAAGCTTTGTCATCACTCTGTCGCATTAATGATATAAACAAACCCACGTCAGCAGTCATTTACAATCATTAGCAACCAGGATTTTCCATAATACACAACATGGGGCAGTTTTACCTGCCCTGCGTCATGTTCAAGGACAAATTGAAAATAAAAAATGTATTGCAGAGCAATGTCTTGATATTATATGTGGACACTTCTCTTGCATTAATCACAGTCTCCTGCTGAAAATCCTTATCTGTGCTATATTTGGCTCCAATTTAACCAGCCACTGATTTGGCTAGTACAATCTGCATCAGTCTGAGTCTCCTTCTGAATATTATTGCTTTCAATCAGCCATGTAGTCAATTGGTTCATTTGTTTTTTTTTGTGTGTTTTTGTTGATGATGTTGTTTTTTTCATCCATTCGACAGAGGAACAAAACATAAAATTCTCCAAACCAAATTCTCTCTTCAGTCCACAGATGTTTTGAATTTTGCACAAATGCATCCATCCTTAGAGGATACAAGTGAAATTGGAAGAAAAACTATGCAGTATACTTTGCCTAGGCCACAAATAGTGTTTTGTTCTACAGAACTCAGTTTTTTTTTAATCATC